TTTTGGTACCAGGGATTGAACTCGCGTCCTTGTGCTTGCAAGGCAGGCCACCGAACCGCTGAGCTAAATCCCCGGCCCCTTTTTTCCTTCTTGATTTCTATAAGATTTTAATCCTGTCCTTCATTTCTGGTGTTGAAAATTTGTTTTCTTTTTTCTTGAGTAGTCTTGCTAGAATCTTATCAATTACTTCACAAAATGAAAAGTTTGGCTTTGTCAATTCTGTTTTCCCATTTATTGATTTGGGGGGGGCTCTTTATTATTTTTTTCCTTATTTTAAATTTACATATTTTTATATTCTTATGGAGATTTATGAGTAAATTATCAATTTTAAATCTTCTAATAGAGGCATGTAAAGCTATACTTTTTTAATACTTCAGCTGCATCTCTCAAATTCTGAAATACTGTGTTTTCACTGAGTTCAAAACATTTTCTGATTTTCCTTATGTTTTTTTCATTGACCCATGAGTTGTTTGGAAATAGGCTGTTTAATCTCCAACATAATTTTAATTTGTTGAGATTTTTAAAAAATATATTATTACTGTTGACATCAAATTCAATTTCTGTGTAATCAGAGAACATACTCTGTAAATTTTAAATATTTTCAAATCTATTATCCAGCATGTTCTAACTGGATAAGTTTGTGCACTTGAAAAGAATGGTATTCTCCTATTGTTGGGTGCAGTATTCTGAGTCAGGTCAAGTTGGTTGACGGGGCTACTGACTTCTGAATCCTTCCTAGTTGTTTATTTCTTCTGTCAGTAACTGAGAGAAGGATCCTAACATCAACTATGGTTTTGGTTGCTTGTTTTAGAGATGGTCTTGTTATATAGTCCATGGTGGTCTCAGATTTAGGTAGCCTAGACTGACCTCACTCTCCGAGTATGAAGACTGCAGGCATGGACCTGCATGCCCAGGTAGGTTTTAGATTTGTCTGTTTTCTCTTACAGCTCTATCATGCTTGCTTTGTGTATCTTAAGTCTCTATTATTAATATGATATCCTATCTTGATGAATTGAGTTTATCATTATGCATTTCCTATGTGTTAATTGAAGTCTGTTTTATCTGATATTAATATAGCCATAAGCTTTTTGCTTATTATTTGCACAGTTACACCTTTTTTCATTTTTTTTACTCTTTGTTCTTTTGTATGTACATCCCTCAGCATGCACGGCATACAGTTGGATATCATTCTTATCAAGTTTGACAATCTCTGCCTTTTCATTGGCGTGTTTAGTCATTCACACTTAATGACCAGTGTGGCTAGGGTTAAGTATACCAACTTGCTATTAATTGTCCCTTTGTCACATCTGGGTCTCTCTCTACCTTCCTCCCTCCCTTTTTTATGTTGTTCCTCTGTCACTGCTTTCCCACTTTATTTTTGGTAAGTCATGTTTTAAGTGTTTACTTTTGTGGCCATCCATTCTGAGATGTTAGTGTTCTTGGGCTCAGCTCAGCACACCACTCTCCTACTTCGTCTTACCTGAGCCACCCAGCATCCGTCTCCTCGTGGCAGCAGTCCCCTAGCCCCTAGCAGACCACTACAGATAGAACCCACAGCCACTGAATGTGTTTCCTTGCCTCCAGGGAAAAACGCAGACCTGGGTGAGGTCCTCCTCTCCATTACCAGAGGAAGCGAGTGCACTCTCTCCACCCTCGGGGCACTGGCTGAGCAGGGCTGACTTCTCAGCCTCTCCACTGCCAACAAAGCCTCCTGTCAGAGAAAGGCCACCTCTGGAGGCTCCTTAGGAAAAACTGCCCCTGCCATTTTGGAAAGGAGGAGCATCTATCAATCGCCTTCCACTTTGCTCTCAGGACTGGAGCCAGGGTGCCCGGATGTGTACCAGGGGAACAGTACTCCCAGTATTATAGGCCTTCTAAGTATTATGTAGAACTATGCATTTGAAGCACCTGGTGAGCACCTCCCAGAGCAAGCTCCCAATAGATAGGAGCCGTGTGAGTATCCTGTGGCCATTCAGCAAGTGACGGCAGACTGAAGGCAAGGAGTCTGAAATCAAGGTGTGGGCAGAGCTGTGCTCCCTCTGGAGGATCTAGGGGAACATCCTTTCTGTTCTTCCTGCTCTGGGTGGCTCCATTTGTCCTGTGGTTGTGGCCCTCCTGTCCCTGCTCCATCTTCACGTGGCCTGTTCCTTGTGTGTCCACCTCAGTGTCTCTCTTCTCCTCAGGATACCTGCCATTGATTTGTCTCAAGATCCTTAATTACAAATAAGGTCATAATCACAGGTTCTGGGGGTTAGGACATGGGTGTATCTTTAGAAGGCTACTGCAGCAGCTTTCACATTTGCTCTTACTATTTTCACATCAGCCCAGGAAGTAGCCCAGGATGGAATATTCTTTGAGCATTTCCTGGGTGCCCAGCAGTGGACTGGGAGTTCTGTTTGACACCAGCCCTGCACAAAGGAACCTCCCGTGTTTCGCAGGGGACATGAGTCATGTGGCTCAGGCCCTGGTCCACCTGCTTTGCCCAGCCCCTCAGGCAGCCTGTTTTCTGAGGCACCAAAACTGGGTCCCTGTCCAGTGCATGTCCCAGTCACCTTATACTCAGTGGCAGCACTGTCCCTGTGCCTATGTCACCTCAGTGGTATCATGGCATTGCTGCAAGAAATTCAGAGAGAGGATTCCCTAAGGAGTCCTCCAGAGGTGACAAAAGCCAATTCAGATGTTACAGTCACATTCTAAGAGCCATTTCCGGGCAGCACCAAGGCACAACGAGTCATAGAATGGTCACCATCACTCTGCCTCAGTGTGGGCAGGAGTTTTCTAGCCCCACAAAACCCCCCACCAAGGCTTTCCTGTCCTGTCAGAGAGCTAAAATTACCCTAAAATACAATGGCTTCTGGCTCAAAAGCAACACTTGTGCCAGTTTAAATTGCGAAAGCCAAGGCCAGGAAGGCAGAGGAGTCTAATGAATCCCAGCTCATTCTGACCCTTCCATGACAAATCATTCCTAATAGATTCTCTCCAAGGCACAGGGGAAACCGACGCACCGAAGTGCCCCTTTCTCCTAGGTGAAGCCCACCAGTGAGGCGCTATTTACATCACAGAACCACGCGCTTGCTCTACCCATTCGTCCCGCTTAACTGCACTGCTCACTGCTTTTTCCTCCTCTATATAAAGGACCACTTTGTAAAAGCCCCTAGGTTTTTTTCTACACCAGTTGTTTCAAATACAGTCACTGTCACATAGATCCTGGAAATTATGATCATGACTAAAAGAAACGAAAAGTCTGCCATTGGATCGGTGCTTAGAACAAATCAAGAGCAAGTTCAAAATGTCCTGGATTATAGTCAAGACCTCTTCCACCAGTCAGTGATGGCTGAAAGAAAGTGGATGTCAGCATTTATCAAATAAATGAATTTATTATTCACAAGCTGAAAACACCTGGTTCCCTCTGGACTGACATTAAATAATTTAAACATGTTTTTATGACAGACTTTCATTGTAAGTTTCCATGTTTACAAAAGCAAAATTCAACCTCTGCCCTTCACTGCTGGCCCAGTCCTCCTCCTGGAAGTTGAGGCCCTTCCACAAGCACTGAGCTCTTGCTGCACCACACTGTGGATGCCCTGCAATGCCCACACCTTGGGGGGAAATATCAGTCAGTGACTTGGCTCTTCAGAGCCCAGGTATCCACAAGGAAGCTCCCTTGGGCTGGAGTGTGGCCCTGCTCCTGGAGATCCACAAACACCCTCAGCAGCCAGTTGGCAGGCAGGCTCTGGCTGGGTGTCTGGTTGTGTCCTGAAAACCAAGGTAGAAGCTCCAGAGGGCTGTGACTGAGCTCATGGTGGTTCCACAGGGACCGTGTGCCCTTCCAGGTTCAGCAACTGCACTGGAACCATCATCCTCACAGAACGCCTCAGGAATGAAGTCTTAACCACAGTGTAACAGTGGGCAAAGGGTCCTTTTTGCAAATATTCGGTTATTTACAGAACTTTTTCAGTTACATAAATCATCACCTACATATATACACACACATTTAGAGACGTGGGTCAGTGAGCTGTGCCCTGGGAGGGTGGCTGCTCTGGAGAGAAGATTGTGCCTGCTTCGTCCAGTCAGACCTTTCTGTCTGTAATCTTTGGTAGAAACAAAATCCAGGTTTTTTCATTATAAAAACTTTGAATTCATGAGAAAGAAAGATGAGCCAGGTATGGTGGAGCACACCTGTAATCCCAGCACACTGGGAGGCTGAGTTTGAGCTCAGCCTCAGCAACTTAGTGAGTTAGTGAGATCCTGTCTCAAAATAGAAGAGGCTGTGGATAAAGCTCATTCTGAAGCCCTCAATTTGAATTCCAGTGCTGCCAAGAGGGCGGGGGATTAAGAAAGGAAGGGGAAGGGGAGGGGAGGGAAGGGAGGAAGGAAGCGAAGGAAGAGAAGAGAGAGACAGGGGGGAGAAGAAGAGGAGGGTGAAGAAGGAGAGGGAAGAGAGGAGAGGAGAGAGAAGGAAAAAAAGAAAAGAGAAAGGGAGCGCAAGCCCCGAATGAACAAAGCTGATCACAGTGCTGCCCCTTCCCCTCTGGCAGGTCATCTGTTATGGGGGCAGCCTGGGCAGTGCAAACCTGCTCAACCACAAAGTGGTCACTGTCAAATGCCCAGAAGGCTGGCTGGAAAGTCACTGGAAGACTATAGGGCACCTTGGCTCACCATCGTGCCCAGCTATTTTCATCCTGGTGACACCTAAGTAGTTGAATGAATGAAGTACAAGAGACACAAAACCAGACACCAGGGGCTCCAGATCACCTGTGATTCACCCCGTGCAGACTCTGGTTGTGGATTCTGGGACTTTCCAGACAGCACACATGGTAACTTCCCAGAAGAGGTAGCTGTTATCAAATAAGCTGTCACCACCAGCCTGAGGAGCACCTGCTTGGACCGCTCTTGGGCTGGGAGGTTTGTCTGTCCTGGGCACACAGAAGGGGACACATTCCACACAGGTCCCGACTGCTTCCCCACTGACCACGTGGCTCAGCCCTCGCCCAGACTTCAGGGTTTCTGCTGTGGGCACAGCTCCAGAGAGGTCCATGCATATTTACCCCATCACTCCACTTTCCAGATGGCAATCTTGCCCTCCTCCCTGCCCGACCCACTCAGCACGTATCGGTCCTCAGCAGAGCACAGAGTCCTCACAGTGTCTGCGTGTGCCACCAGCTCCTTTTCCACCGTCTTCCTCTCCACGTCAATCACATAGATCTTCCCTTTGGGTCTTCCCTGTGACAGCCCCCTGCCGCCCACCCAGACCTGCCAGGAAGAAACAGGAGAGTCAGCTGGGAAGGGGGCCCCTCGAAGATGTATGGTGCTATTCCTAGTGCCTGAGCTAATGCACCCCCAAATTCATGTCCTTCCTGGTGTCCCAGAGGATGGGCCACCTGGTGGGCCAACAGGATGGAGCCTCAAGCCAGAGTGACCTGTCCCAAACCATAAAGCCTAGGGGATAATGTGACCATAGTTAATAATTCGGTCTTGTATACCTCAAATTTGCTAAGAGGTAGATCTTAAGTTTTCCTGACAAAACAAAACCCAACAGAAGTAACTGTAAGGTGATGCATATGTTAATAAGCTTGACTGTGGTGATTATGCACTGTGTATCAAAACATCAAATTGTGCCAGGTGAGGTGGCACACGCCTATAATCCCAGCACTCAAGAGGCTGAGGCAGGAGGATCGCTGTGAGTTTGAGACCAGTCTGGGCTACATAGTGAGTTCCAGGTCAGTCTGAACTACATAGTGAGACACTGTCTCAAAAACAAAAACAAAACATCAAATTGTGCCAGGTGAGGTGGCACACGCCTATAATCCCAGCACTCAAGAGGCTGAGGCAGGAGGATCGCTGTGAGTTTGAGACCAGTCTGGGCTACATAGTGAGTTCCAGGTCAGTCTGAACTACATAGTGAGACACTGTCTCAAAAACAAAAACAAAACATCAAATTGTGAGGGCCAGGGATTTAGCTCAGCGGTTCCGCCACCTACCTCGCAAGTGCAAGGTCCCAAGTTTGATCCCTGGTAGCCCCCCCCAAAAAATAAAATTGTGTCCATTAAATGGTTATCATTTGTGTTTGTTAATTACATGTCAGTAAAGCTGGTGGAGAGGGGCTCTAACAGAAATTCTCTGCTGAGTTTCAGGTTTGCTTGGGACCTGGAACTCCTTTTTCACTTCCGATTTCTGCCCTGTGGCATGGGACTGTGTACCCTCTGCCTGCCCCATGCTTGTGCTCTGGGAAGAGAGGGCAGGCTATATTTTCACGGCCCCACAACTGTAGAGTTCTGCCCCAGGACAGACCATACCTAGAGCCTTGTTGCTATGGGTTGGGTAAGTGTCCCCTAATAACCCAGGTGCTAAAGGTTTGGTCCCCACCTTGGCACAGTTAGGAAGTGGTGGAAACTTTAAGGTGTCACCACCATGGTTTCAGATTTCTAGCCTCTGGGTTGGGAGGAAAATAGTTTGGCTGTTTAAGCCACCCAGACTGTGATTATTTACTATGGCAGCCCTGAGGTAGTCTGGTTTCTAGGCACCGTAATCACACTACAAAAATCACATAACAAAACTCAAGGCATTACAACAACCTGGGGACAGAGACGGAATGTGGGAGAGGAAGCAAGAAGGCGGGAGCAGCCAGAGGGGCCAGGCAGGGCAGGAGCCCACGTCACTTTACCTGCCTCTTCACACGGATCATGCAGCTGACCTCAGAGCAGTCCTGCAGGTGAATCCGCTGCGGAGCCTGGGCCAGGTCCTGCAAGCTCCAGATGTACACCTCACCGCGCCCGGCACAGGCGGTCCACACCTGCCCCTGCTAAAATGAAGGTGACGATGGCACTGCGCTGGGCCAAGGCAGCCTGCCCCATGTCCACACCCCTCTGTGGAGTACCTCGGGGAGGAGCTGCAGGCCCAGGAAAGAGGTCTTTGCCTCCCTAAGGTCCTCATCTATCCTCAGCTCTTGGCAAAGTAAGCCATGCGTTGTCACGACCACGATGCTGCCGCCGGTGCCTGTCACAGGAAAGAGCTGGGATGAGGATCCGGAAGACAAGTCCGAGTCCGTAAGTGGAGGGACTGCTGTGTAGTACATGTTCCATGTGATGCTTGGGAGCGGGCGAGGTACTTCACATTCTCCCTGTCAGTCTACACAGCAACACTGGTGACTGCAGGGATCCTTCCTTCCTCCTTCTCTTTCTTCCTTTGTGTGTGTGGGGGGGTACAGAGGATCAAACCCAGGGGGAGGGTGATCTACCACTGAGCTACAACATCCTTACACCTTTTTATTTTATTTATTTATTTATTTATTTATTTTTGGTACCTGGATCGAACTCAGGTCCTCGCGCTTGCGAGGCAGGTGGCAGAACCACTGAGCTAAATCCCTGGCCCCTCCTTTTTATTTTTTGTGACAGGGTCTTCCTCAATTGCTCATTCAGGATTTCAGCTCCCAAAGTGTTGGTATTACAGGCTTGTACTACTATGCCAATTGTGTGAGGCCCATATCTACAGAGCGGAAACAGCTGGAGTCCGCCACCCTTTTTTGAGGCTTTGTGTAATGTGGTTGGAAAGCACAGCTGCTTAAGAAGTTGTCAGGCAACCACTGATTTCGGTTTTCTGTCACCTGATGGAAGTGGTTCCTAACCCACTTAGTGACCACTGCAATTCTAAGCACATACCGGTGCCTGGTTCTGGCATTTCTCTCAGTTGTTACTTTACTCACTCGGGTAAAATGCCCTTTTGCAAACTGAGATCTCCAGTCTCCTCAAGATAAAAGCCAGGGAAGAGGCAAAGCCATGTCTACAGTGAGGGCAGAGACGCCTGAAGAGAAGGCTCAGTGTTGTCCAGCTTCCTTCCTTATGTTGTCACTGTGTGCAGCTCTCCATCCCCTCCCCACCCAGTGCAACAGCCACAAAGCACACAGGACAGGAGGCACAGGCCTGGCCCTGGGAGGACCCATCTCACAGGCAAGAGGGCCAGGGGATGCCAGTGTGGGGAGAGAGGTGCTGCTGGAGATGCTGCGTTGGCTTCATGCTGCTACAACCTTCAATTACAGCCCACTCCAGTAATCAGCCTCCCCTGACAATGGCCCCTTGGTCCTCAGCCAGCCAGACAGCCCAGAAGCCAAGCTGGGTTTATATCTCTACTGGGACCTCTGATCCAGAGACCTAATACACAAACAGCAGCACCCTCCAGGAACCCTTTTATCCAGCCATGCGGTTTCCTACTCAGGCTGATGAATAAGGCCTTTGCAGGTGGCTGCTCAGTAAGAATGCCTGGCCAGCAGGAGCCACGCAGGAGCCACAGGAAGCCCCCCTGGAGGGTGCCTCTCCCTGGGGGCCACAGAAGCTCCTCCCAGCACAGTCACCAGCTCCCAGGCCACCCCTGACGTTGCATCCTTAAGCTTATCACACACTAAGGCTACATGGGCCCCTGCTGCAGGAGAGGGCAGAGCTCAGCATCTGCGCTGCTGTGTGAATAACCAAAGGTGCAGATGTGGACAGATGTGGGACTGCTGTTCCCTCAGTGGGCCAGACACACAAATATGCTTAAAAATTTATAAGAGGTATAGTTAGGATAGCTGAGGACATGAAGACTTTAAGAGAAACACTGAAGTTCTACCAGAACACTAAATGGAAATTCTGGAATTACAGTGCAAATTTACTGCATAGATTTAATAGCAGATAGGACACAGAGAAGAAAGTTTCAGGTTGCTATCATTTGGATCTTGGATATTTCTCAGCATGACACTACTGGGAAAATGGTAGAACTCTTGGGAGGTGGAGCTTAATGAAAGGAAATATGAGCCCTTGAAGGGGATTTAGGGGCCTGTCCCTCCTCTTTCTCCCTTTGCTTCCTGCCATCAGCAGGTGAACAGCCTTGCTGTACCCCAAAACCCACAGTGATGTGTCCCTCCCCACAAACCCAAAGCAACCATGGAATGCAAGCCAAAATAAACCTTTTCTCCTTTGAAGATGTTTTCTCGGGTATTTTGAATAGGGATAGAAAGCTAACACTCAGGTCTTATCCAAACTAACACACAGAGAGAAAAGAGGATGCAAAAATTAAAACAGTGCCTGAGAGCTGTGGGACAGTGATAAACTTTTCTGTAATCATATTGGAGGAGACGATGATTAAACTTCCCCCAGTGATGAAAATAAACCCAAGATATGCACAAAGGCCCTCACACCTAAGAACAAACCCTCGGAAGCTTTTCCAGCCAAAGAGCAACAGCAAGGATGGCAGACTGCTGGACAGGGAGGGACAAAGCCAGCTAGAAGCCAATGGATCAGTGTTTCTAAGCTGCTGAGAAAACAAAAGCCATTGGGCTAATGTCCGTTTGAAGCGGCTCTGACTGAAAGACCTGCACGGGAACCTTTCAGGCTGAAGGGGAGCAATGTAGGCAAGACTTGAATCTATAGAAAGGAAGGAGGCTCACAAGAAATGTAAACATTTGACAAAATGAATTTTTTTCTTACTTTCTTTAAAAGACCACTGATTGCTTAAAAAGAAAATAACCTGGGGTTTATCACAGTCATAGTAATAAGCTACTGTCTTCAACAAAAGGAAGAGAGGGAGGTAGACAGGCTATTGCAAGTTTCTTAGCTTACACATGAGGGTCTACCAGAGTTATCTGGGGTAGGGTGGGGTAGGGGTTCACACTGCCATCCTTAGGGTAACCAGTGAAGAATAAAGCACCAAAGAGGTATAGCTAAAAAGACAATAAGGTAGAGTAAGTTAATATTAAAATACTCAGTCCAAAAACAAACAGACATTTCCCCCAAGGCAGATGCGCACACAGGGAGCAAACACGTGAGGACAGAACCACAGTGAGATCCTCCTGCCTACAAGGGTGGCTGTTATCAGAAAGGCGGACAGGAAGCATCGGTGAGGATGTGGAGAGTGGAGCCCTCGTACCCTGTTTGTGGGAATGTGGGACGGTGCTGCTGCTTAGAGAGAAGCCAACAGCTCCTCACACAGTTAATTGCAATTAACACCATGTCCACCCTAGGAGATGAAGTAACAGAGTACTGAGCTGGTATAGTAATGCATAGAACACCGTACTATGCAGCGATGAGAATGAATGGCTACTGACACTCAGAATAACATAGATGAACCCTATAAGTATCATACTAAATGAATAAAGCTAGATGAAACAGAAGATAGATTGTAGGGTCCACTAAATTCTGAAAAAAGCAAATTCATAGCGGCAGGATGAAGACCAACTGCATTCCTTTGAGCAGAGCACGGCTAGGAGGGGGCCCAGAGGAGCTTTTAGCAGTGGTGGAAGTGCGCTGTATCTTGATTTTTCTACCATTATCCGGTGTAGAGTCAGCCCTCTGTGTGTTTCCCATCTGTGGATTCAATCAACTGTGGCCTGCAATTATGTGGAAAGAAAATCATGAGCTGAGAGTACAACTCAGCCAACAGAGCGCTAACCTAGTATGCACAGGCCCTGGGCTCAGTTCTGCGCACACACAAGTCTATACCAAACATGTATGGGCTTTTTCTCTTGCCATTACTCCCTAAACCGCACAGCATAGCTATTTATGTAATGCTTACATTGCATTAGGTATTATAAGGCCTCTTGAGATGATTAAAGTGTATGGTATAGGAGGATATACACAGGTTCTATACAACCACCATGCCATTTTACACGAAGGACTCGAGCAACCATGGATTTTGATAATTGTGGGGGTACTGGAACCAGTCCCCTACAGGCATTGAGTGACAATTATGCTTTTGTCATAACACAACAACCTACATACTTGTGCATTTTACTGTATGCAAAATATGCTTCAACTAAAGAATGAAATTCATAACTGTTACTCATGTTGTCTGGCACATACCAGCCAGGGAAGCCTTTGAGAAACACAGAAGGTGTTGAGATACACAGAACGTGAGCCACCAGGCCAAGGTCTGCACAGCCCATCACCCCTGGAAAATGCTAGCTTGACTCCAAGGACACGAAAGGAACAGCGCAGGTAACCACACCAAAGCCTTGCTGACCTGGTCCCTGGGAGAGGAGGTGATACACACGAGTGTGTAGAGGATGCTGGGGTGGCACTGTGACCTCAGCACCTGGACCAGGGTCATACCCAGAACAGGGCCCTGTGAGAGCAAGGGAAGAGCAGGTGTGGAGAGGACTAGGGGTGGGGCAGGGCAAAGGCTGCTGGGAGCCAAGAAATAACTGGGAAGGGGCCCTTTCTTCCCAGACAGCGAGCCAGGCACCGGACTTACAGCACCACAGGCTGTTGCTGTGTAGGCTGATGGATGTTAGGCCACAGCAGGGCAGCTGGAAGTGGCAGGTCACCCGCAGTGTGCTGACATTCCATGCCAGGACTGTCCCATCCAGGCTGCAGGAGTAGACCTCGCTGGAGAGACAAAAACACACGCACGTTGATTTGGACCCTTGCAGTGCTATACGTTCCAACCAAGGGAGGAGCAAAACCACCACTGGAGTCTCCACCACAGGGATGCGAAGTAATGTGCCACATACTGCGACTATGTCAGCAGAGAACGGGCCAGGCTGGCCACAGGCTTGGCAAGTGAAGCCACAGATGACCATTACTGGCAACCTAGTCTCAGCAAACAGCCACTCACTCAGCTCCAAGAGAAGTCCAGAGGGCAAACACGCCTCAGCACTGGGTTTAATAACCCCCAGCTGAGGCCAGGTGTGGTGGGGCACACCTGTAATCCCAGCACTTGGGAGGCTGAGGCAGGAAGATTGCTGTGAGTTTAAGGCCAGTCTGAACTACATACTGAGTCTCTAAATAAATAAATACATACATACATACATACATACATACATACATACCAATAACCCACAGCTGCAAGAGGGCGGACCACAGCCAGTGCAATCTGTGATTCCCATACCTTGTAGCCTATTCCATTATCAGGTTCATACCTCTGTCCTACCTGACATGGCAAGGACAGGGGTTCCCTGGAGCTAAGAGGGACCAGGAGGACAGCCAGCTTGGAGGAAGTCACAAGAGCTGGGCTCACCTGCCAAGTATCCCTTCCCCAGGGCCAACACAGAGTCCCTGCCCCACTGGTACATGCATGTTGGGTGCTGTCCTCACCACAGGAAAAACACAGTGGGGAAAAATAGGAGCAGGCATGCTTGACACAGTGACACAAACTGGAATTATGGTGAGATTGGGGCCCTGAGAAAATATACGTTGGTGTACCAAACAGCCGTATCTCAGAACCTGACCCGATCGAGTTAAAATGAGGTCACCATGATCGGACATGACTGACACATCCTGACACACAAGGGAGCAGAGGACCCAGTACTAGATACATGAGACACCACAGGTGACCATCAGCCACCCGGCACTGGATCAGGAAGGAAGGACTCTTCACAAAGGGTTTAGAGGGAGCAGAACCCTGACAACACCTTGACTTTGGACTTTGGACCACCAGAACTGGGTGAATTTCTGCTCTAAGTTAACTCATTGGTGGTATTCTGTTAGGGTGGCCCCACGAAACTAATGCAAAAGAAAGGGTGGTTTGTTGGGACATGGGGAATAGTCATGTAAAGCAGGACACTTGAGCAGAAGATGGCAGGAGTCAGTGGGGACCCTTGGCTGAGGCCAGAGAAATGACCTTTACAGTTCTTCCTTGGGCTGCTGACTCCCTAGGATAGGGAAGTGGGCATGCAAGGCCCCAGCCCGCTGGTCACAATCCACTCCCAATCTGTGAGGACGACTCAGGTGCACCTCATGCCCTCTCTGGAAGCCTCCCATGGACCAGGACAGTCTCAGGGTTTTGTGGTTCAAATCTTTTTTCCTCCAGGAGGATTTGGTCCCGGTGGGCTGAGGCTGAAGAAGGGAACACAGGTGGATGAGGTTGGATAAGCCCACACATTTGACAGGACTCACTTGCACCTGCAGCAGTGCCAAGGTTTCCATCTAAAAGATCCCCCGAAGTCTCATGTGTTCAGAGGTGGGGTCTTTGGAAAGTGAATGGATCATGAGGGACTGTACTCATAGGGGGCTGATCCACTGATGAGTTCAAGGCTGAATATGTTGCTAGCACGTGGGGCCTGGTTGGAGGCAGGTCATGGGGATGTGAATGGGAAAAGTGTATTCTTGTCCCCAGCTCCTCCCTTCTCTCTTCTTCCTGGCTGCCACAGGTCAATCTTCCCTCTACCATGCCCTTTTACGATGCTGTTCTGCCTTGGACTGAATCCTGTGAAAACCACTGAGCCAAAAGAAACCTCTCTTCCTTTAGGTTGTGGGTGTCAGGTATTTTGCCCCAGCACTGGGAAAGTGATTAGTCCACTGGGTGGGCTTAAAAATGAAGATCACTGGGACCGCAGGCACATGCATGCACGCGCGCGCACACACACACACACACACACACACACACACACACACACAGCAAACAGCTGAAGACAGGCCAAGAGACACAGCTGCCCGACACTGGCCCCACAGCACACAGGGGTAAGTACCTCATCGATCCTAGTCAGTCTGTACACTGCTGGCCAGCAAGTAACTTTTGGGCAGTTGAGGGGATCTCACAATGACATTTTAAGTTTAAGAAGGGAGCCAAGGCTGAAAAGGAGTGATCTCACACAGAAATGTCAATGGGAAAATGAGGAAACTGCAATAGTGCTATAATGGTGCTATTCTTACAGGGTGCTCACGTTTCTACCACAGGCCTCTACTGTCCAGGACCTCAGCAGGAAGACTCAGAGGAGAAACAGCCCTCTTGTACCCAAAACAGAAGCAGACCTAGCCCGCCATCTCCCAGCTCTCCCACTCATTCGCCCTGCTGGTCCCTGGGGCAGGCACCTCGGGGACCCGTCCTGCAGGCCAACGAGTGAGTCTCCACCCCTGATTGGCCTCTGTACCTGGGCTTCTTCCCATCCTGCACGATCAGCCCTGTGACGGCGGTGCGGTGGTCTGTGAGCTGCTTGTTGCAGGACATGCTGTGGACGTTGATGATGTAGATGACGGAGTCATCTGAGCCGACCCACACCTGGCTCTGCTCCGCCATCACCATGCAGTTCTGAGGGGAGGCCAGGAGAGAACAATGCGCAGTGTTCATGGTGCCACAAACACTGAGTAACCCGATACTGAACCCACAAACAGTGCTGGGCCCAGAGCCTCTGATCATAGGTCTTCAAGGGGTCAGTATGTGACCTTGTTTTAGGCTTGTGTGTGTACTCCTGAGATAGTTTATTAAGTGCATATTGTTACTTCATTAATGGCCAAGGGTACCATCACCACACCTGGGCGAAGCTCATCTGACCCCTCTGTCTTCTCCACGGTGCATCACAGCCTCTGTGTACATAGGAACACTATGCTTGGGGCCACTTTAAACAGCAAAGTCACCAACAAAAAGCACCAAAATGTGAAAACCATGACTGTGGAAAGGCTGCTTATCCACAGTCAGTGCAGAGAGAAAATGGTGACACTTGTCAGCCTCAGCTGGGATATGCACATCAGCCACTCAGCTTTTCCCACTCTGTGCATAATCAAAAAGGCACCAACAATACATATTTGGGGTCACAAATAAATTTTAGCAGGTGGCTGACAAGAATGGAGAAAGGAAAGTCTACACATAGGAATAACTAACCACCGGGCATTTAGCCCAGTGGTTCTGCTGCCTGCCTCATAAGCACAAGGACCTGAATTCGATCCCTGGTACAAAAAAAAAACAAAAACACATAGGAACAACCAACAGTAGGGCTCTGTTTCTAAAGAGTGACCTTGGAGTCTGCTACTTATGAAGGCCAACAGTCAGCAATTTTTCTGTTTATCATGAGGCTTTTTGATATTGTAAAGTAAGACTTAAAACTCCGAAGAATTATAGTCGTACATCACATGGAATAGGGCTGTGTTTGTTTGCCTGCACCTGGCAATCAGTCTAGGGGCCCAAGCTGCCCCATCCAGTGGCAACAGAAATGGTCAGGCAGCTGCTGCCTGTGATTACCTCTTCTGTCCCCATGCATGACGTGGCCCACACTGCACTGCTGAATAAATACCTCACAGTTTCAAGTACACATAGATTTTCAGGGTAAAAGTGACATGGTGGCTGGGTGCTGAGGACTAGGTACAATACTAGATATAATCAATGTCAACGGCAGCTATAATCGTTAAGTCAGAAGGAATCTCTTATAAAATTAATAATTTAAATTCTAGTCATAAACATTCCTGTAATTTAGAAAAGGAAGCCAACTTGTTAATGTAAGAGACTCATTTAAAAGAGCCCTTTATTTTTATGCATCCCCCTGAGGTAACTTTAACAAATGTCTTGCCTACGTGGCCCCAAGATAAGAGGTCTTAGATAAATCAGTCTGAACCTCACACTTCAGGGGAGAGAGCATTTTCTTGAGCTATTCTCGAGGTTTCTTTCTTATGGAAAGATATGAAATATCTGTGAAACTGGCGGGAAGATATTTTCAGATAAGTGGATAGCATATTGCATTCAGTGTTCCCAGGCCTACTTGGAGAGCAGTCAAAACTGTTACAAATGTAGTCTGATTTTATTTTAACTAGGATTTTTTAAATAATTAAAAAGAAAAGTCATTAAAATGTTATAACTAAGAGCCAGCAGGGAAAAAATTAATTTAGAATATTTCTTTAATTTCTCTTTCATTTTTTTTGTTTGTTTGTTTTTTGACACAGGGTCTCACTGTGTAGTTGAGACTAACCTGGAGCTCACTATGTAGCCCAGGCTGGTCTTGGAACTCACAGCGATCCTCCTGCCTCAGCCTCCCAAGTGCTGGGATTACAGGCGTGTGCCACCACGCCCGGCTCATGTTTTGTTTGATTAAAAGCATTATTGCACCTTTTTAAATATTTTGACTTACTGTATTATGGATCCTGTTAGTTACTCAATTGAGGCTCAGTTGAACTTGGAAAGAAAATGACCAAACACTGTCTCATTATTTTGCTCATGGCCACTCAGGCACTGAGTGCCCCTCCTCCTCCCCAGAAATAAGGGTGCATTCACAGTATTTCTGTTTTATAGCGGTTTTGAAAGCATACACTAGGTCACAAATTGTCCCAGCCCCCAGCTTGATCATTAGCAGAGCCCAATGAGCCTAGGCAGACCCTCTTTTCACCTTCAATGGGAACTCAACAGGTCGCATCCTGTGGAGAAGGGTGTGAGGGCATCCCTGGAGGGCTCCTCCACGTCACTAGAATGTCCTGAACAGGATGGAGCCACCAGGTGGGATGTGTAGATGTGGATGCAGTTTGAATGTGGGGTTCAAAGGACACATACACACCAGCAAGAAGAGGTAGAGCAAGGGACATGTGCATAGGGGATGTGCCACCACGGGTGCCTGGTGGCTGGCAAAGCACAGACAGCAAAGCTTAGGCTCACAAGTGCCCAGGGACTAGCGGAGGCACTTGTCACATTGACCAGAGGGCCACAGGTATGGGGGTCTACATGGACAGGGGTCCTGGGCCAGGTGTACAGGCTTATATGATTTAGGAGAGCGGTCATACCATGGCAGTGCCAGGACACATGACTCAACGTGTCACCAGTTGTACTTGCTGTGAGATCCTCTGAGTTTACTGTGATTCAAAGGACTGAGATGTGACACCAGCTGTGGTGTCTGCTGCCTGGTGCACAGGGCAGCTGGATGCTCACTCACACCTCCAGAGAGACAGCTCACTCCCCTTTGGGTCCAGAAGAGACCCACTTGTCACCCCTCACCAGCAAGCTCCAGGATTCACCGGGAGCATGGTCTGTGGTCACCACCATGCTGTGGCTCGTGAAGCATTCCAGAGTTTTGAAAGATGGGTGAGAGGTTAAGCCATTACCTCAACGTTCAGTGAGCCCATGTAAGCAAAAGGGTGGAATGAGCTCTCACTTAACATTACAGACCTCCATTCACGGCCACGTGCGCTCTGAGGACTGCAGGCCACCACACTCTTGTGCTAGACCTTGCGTGCACCAGAATGCAGACACTGCAGTCTGAACTGAGTGGCTTCATCTACTCACCACCTTGGAGGTGCCCACTTTAAAGCAGTGCTGGTGGATGGTCCAAGAGGAGGCATCAAACACAATCATTCTGCCCTCGCTCAGGGCGCACCACAATTTGGGGTGAGCATCCTCCACTTTCTCCGCAGGGTCGAGGTGCCCTAAGGGGAAGAGCAGCCATAGTGTTGGTGGGGAGCCTCTGAGTGGATTGCCTAGGGCAAAGTGACATTACTCCACATTTACTGGGCACCCACCGAGCGCCAGCTGCTGCGCTAGGTGCTGGGATGCTGAGAGGAACGAGGCCATGCCCCACCCTGCCCATGCGGCGCTTGTGCCTCATCAAGGGGCTGCCTGCCACAGAACCACATGGATGGACAGAACTAGATCTGGGGTGGGGAGTGCAGGCCAAATTGCTGAGCTAGGCCTGCAGTGAGGGTTCACTGCTGAGCAGCATTGTAGGTGTGGGGGCAGGACCAGGAGCCAGTAGCCTCCCAGCACACAGGGGAGGGGTCAGCTGGAGACACTGAGGCCAGAGCACTGGGCTTTCACCAACTTCCATGCCACCGAGTACTTGGCCATGCCCCTCACTCCACAGCTGCACCAACACTGGGTGGCTTCAAGTCTCCTGCCTTAGTCTTCTGAGCGCTGGGCTACAGGGCATGCCGCTATGTCCTGTGTCAGCTCGTTTGGGGTTTTATAACTATAATTTATTGGCATTTCCCTTCTTGCTCTTGAGGCTGAGATTTTTGCTGGCTGTTGGGATGTCATTTGCTCAAAAGTGTTCATCTACTGGCAACGTTTGAGGGTCTCACGTCCCTATCTGGATAGGAGCCCCTAACCATTCTATTGTGTCAAAAATGGCCTTTCCCATCTGTGGCTTGCACCTTCACTCTTGGACACACTGTTGAACAACCCTTCATTCAGTGTTGTCAAGTCCATCTTTTTCTTCACAGTCAGCACTTCCACACGCTGCTCAGGAGTCTGTGCTTGCCCTGCAGCCACAAGTATGCTTTGTGCGCATGCGACTGGCAGCTCACAGGCTCTAGTTACCTGCTTATTTGCTGTGCTTGTCACATGTAGATTTCTATACCCTTGGAATGGTGACAGGCTGAAGTGGGTCAGGACTTACCTCCCCACATGGAGGGGGGCGTCACCTCACCATGCATGTGTGGTTAGACTGCCCTCAGCCCCACCTGCCCAGCAGAGCCACCTCTGTCCTTGATCAGGGGTCACAGGCCCACCACCTTTCTGGGGGCATCTATTCCACTGGTCCTTGGCCCCCAGGGTGGAGGATCTACTACACATTCTCTCCACCCATTTGAGGCCCAAAGGCTTGATTCTCCCAACTCCTTATGAGCTAATGGGTTTGCAGGAACTGCCCATCTTGGCTGTCCCAACCCCAGTTTCTGCCCCATCTGGCCCTGAAGAGTGGGAAAGCTCTGCTCCCTGTCAGCTCCTCAGGCCCCAGAAGTAGCAGCTAGGCCACAGGGAACAGCAGCTCCCTACTCTTCTCCACTTCCCCGGCCTTTATGGGGATACGGCAGAGGCACAGAGAGTAGAAGTCTGACTACTTTCCCCTCAAGACAGGAAACCCAGCATCTGGTCAGCTCTAAGAAACTGGCTTGGATCTGCTGTGGTGCAACATCTGGTGAGGTCATCAGAGAGCCTTGGCTAGGCCAACCATAGCATGTCGGGGACAGAACGCCTTCCTGAGAGAGGGCTCCACCACACAGCCTCCATGTGCCAGCCTACGGACACTCAGACACCTCTGTGGGGTCACCGTCCCCAATGTGATAGAGACCACACAAGTACACCAAGGATGCTCATTGTTCACTCTCTACACGAAGGGACTGGCCAGATTGCCCATCTGACTGGGTCAGTGACAAAGCCTGTGTCCTGTTCCTGTGGCAACAAACAGCTAGGGTGCTGTCTCCTTGGCACAGAAGAAACAGGAGCACATGAATTAATTCCCAAGAGAGATGACGTGAATTGAGTGCCTTACGAACCAACACCTGCTACAGAGGGAGGGACGCTTACTTGAGGCAAGGCAGAAAGCCCCACAGGATCCCTCTGATCTCCCCTGGAATCCCCAGGTGCTGGGCACCAGCGCCAAGTGCTGGAGCAGCCCAGCAGTACCAATCCTTCCTCAGGATTATACCTCAGTAGCAGAAAACACCCCCTTTCCACCACAGTGCTGCCTCATCTCTTAGCACTGACCTCAAACCCAAAACTAAATTAATCGGGTTGTTTCTAACCTAACAGCATAAACCAGTAAGACAGCCCATTTCATTACCTGGTGTGTACAACAAGACATCGATGGCTTGTGGGCCAGTCTCCCCCGCTGAAGGGTTGATTTTGTGTTTCAGCGTCTCTGAGGTGGTCTTGGGAACAGCCATGGGCACTGAAATGCAAGCCCCAAGGGTTAGTTCCCCAGACACATGACGGTCATGTTACTGATGGCCTCACACACACTGCTTTCCTCAGGTCAAGAGTTTGAGGTTAAAGTACACAATTCCTGAGGAGGAAGATATCTGAACCCGGGATTCAGGGTGCCCTTCTCTGGTTTCCTCTGTTGTGTAAAGCAGTGGCAAGGAAGACAGGGCTTTATAGAATATCCGCACCATTCTCTCAGCTTGGATGCTACTTATCTGGGCTCCAGCCACACCCACCCACTAGGTACTGCAGAGCAGAGGTTTAAACACTCCTCAACAGCAAGATATTCCCAGATGAAAGGGACCAAGGAGACTAAATCTAGAGCAGTGACATTTTCTGCTGTGGGGCTGTCCTGCATCCCCTGCACTGCATGGTGTCAGCAGCATCCCCGGTCACTCACCAGCCACCAGGCCAGCGCCCCCCACCACAAGTGTTCCCTAGTCGCCTCCCCAGAGTGGGGTCCAAATCACCCCTGTTAGAACCAGGAGGGCAGTCTCCCACCTGCCCCTCTGCTGCACAATCCCCTGAGTTGCCAATGGAGCCTGTGACTGCCTCTCTGTGGGGCTCCGGAACTACCCTCTAGGATATGGGTCCCTCCCACCGACTTCCTAGGAGAATCTACCAGCCCCTTTCACCCATTAACCTCTGAGTCTCTGCAATGTTGGTGCTGGGGACTGAGCAGAGACTCACCATCTGCTTCTCTTCCCTCTTTCCTTTGAGACAGTGTTTCACTAAGCCACTAAATTGTCTAGGTTAGGCTCCAGCTCATGATCCCCCTACTTTGGTCTCCCAGTGTGCTAGGATTACAGGCCTGCACCACCACTCCCAGCTTCCTCCCTCATTTTATTACACTTCATAAGATCTGATGAGGTTGATACTATTATCCCTATGAAAAAGCAATGATGAAAACCTGAAATGTGCAGTTGAACTACTGAAGATCACATGATCAGCAGGTGGTCAGCCAGGACCCCAACACTGGCTGGCTGCGCTTGCCTCTTTGATGGTTTCCCAAGTCATGATCATACTTGGGACATTCTCAGACCCTCACTGTGCACTGACCACAAGCTAAAAAGGTGAGCTCAGAATCATGGATCACACACCTTTACCTCATGAAGCTCTACATACTGGAAAATATTTCTTGATTTGCTAAGAAGGGGTCAGGAACTTAGACATGTTTTGTGACCCGAGCTAGGATGGTCCCTTCTTTGCCACATGAAACAAGGTGGCCAATGACTGAGAGTCAGCTGTCCAGGCCAAGTGTTACCATGCTGGCTCTATAAACTGTTAGAAGGCCGTTCCATAAACTTCGGGCCAACATTGAGTGTAAGTTTGGAACTATATAAGCAACTAAAGCATGGTGTTTATTTGATTTTGTTCCTAAAGGGACAAAAAGAGCAAATGCTGTCTGTTTGTAAGACAAAGCACCTTCGAGCCGCTCATGCAGGTCTAGTAACCACAAGGCTCCTGAGTTTCCTGGCTGCCGCACCAGCACAGGGTCCCCTGGGTCATGTGAGAGGGGTCGATGACCAGACAGCATCAGGGATCCTGCAGTCAGTGGCAGATGTCACTAAGAAGGCAAAATATGCCAAGGAAAATAAACACATAACTGGTGTTTGTTTTTTCTAATTGTGAGAGTGTTTTTTTTTTAAAAAATAGCATCTCCTAGCTATCTGTCCAAGAGAAACAAAAATAAATGTCCTCACACAGACTTGTACATGAATGTTCACAGCAGCACCACCCACAATAGGCAAAAAGTAGACATGACTGTTCATTAATTGATGAGTGGATAAAGCAAATGTACTCTATGCAAACAATGGGATATTACTCAGCCACCAAAAGGGGTGGAAATATGCTGCTGCATGAAAGATGCCAGGGACAAAAGGACCAATGCTGTAGGGCTCCATGTGCATGAAATGTCCCAGGTAGACAAACTCATAGAGACCGAAAGCAGGTCAGTGATTGCTCACAGTGGGGGAGGGAGAGGCTCAAGGGCTGACAGACCATCTAATATCTGCTGTGGCAATGGCACACAACTCTGTGGATATTCTAGAAACCACTAAGCTGTATACTTTAAATGGGTATGGTACAGAAATTACATATCAATAAAGTTGCTATAAAAAAATTAAACAAATTGCACACAAGCAAAACAAGATGCCTGTTGTAAGACATGTCTAGTTCATTAATCTGTTTCATAAACTAATTTTATATTATTGGTTTTACATATTAATAGTAACAAGTAATCCTCAATATATTTTCTACTTTGTTACACTGATCACAAGATGGTTGTAAGAGATCATTTAAAATGGAAACATTGTTCCGCCGCCTGTCTTGCAAGCACAAGGACCAAGTTCGATCCCTGGTACCAAAAAAATAAAATAAAATGGAAACAAAATAGAAGTAGCTTAAATGATGCATATAGTCATTTTACCCCTTTGTTTCTAGACTGAAAATCATTTACAAAACACACTCGAGCCCACCACCATTCTGCGTACTCCAGAAAGTGATAGCAAGATATAAACACACAGGAAGAAGGGCTGGGAATTTAGCTCAGTGGCTCTCCAGCTGCCTCACAAGTACGAGGTCCTGAGTTTGATCCCCAGTACCCTCCCCCAAAATGCACACACACAGGAAGGAGATTGGAGAATTCCTGTCTAGGAAACTGACCAAATAAAGTGTTAAAATAAAATGCATACTGACATTCACCATCCTTCTAATCCCATGTGGTGGTAAAGTCCACTGGTCTACAAGCAGACCACGTAGAGGGGCCATGGCTTCCCAGTGGGCGTGTTTCTGGGTACAAGATCAACATACCACTCAGAGACTCCACGGACCACTTAACAGCTTTCACACTCTCCTAGCCTGCTTATACCAGCCAGAGGAGATTCTGTTGTTTGCAACTAAGAATTGTGACAAATCCTTACAATGTGAAACCTCTTACAATGGCTCCTCAGATGAGCAAATCATAAGACACACCCACGTTCTGATGTACAAAGAGCTGTGAGGCTCACTGGTAGTGAAAGAAGGGAAGCACAGGTCACTCAATGTGACACAGAAATAAATACATGAGCAGGTATAAGAGAAACGCAAGATGGAGGGAGGGGAGAGAGAATGGAGGGAAGGAGATGGAAAAAGGAATCAAGATGTGTTTTGTGCATGTACCAATTCCCCACAAGGAATGCAAAATTATGTACTGCAAACATGCGCTAATAAAAAAAACTTTTTTAGACAAAAATGAGCACGAGATTCAGATGCATTCTAACAAACAAAGCAAACATCAAGCGGATAAAATCACTCAGAAGAGATCTCAAGACACTACTGTGCGAGACTGGAGCTTGTCTTACTTTCATTCTTCATCTTATCAAAGTAAGATAACTTGGAAGCAGCATAGATGGCCCCTGGGGACTGCAGTGTGCCGACCACGGCGTCCATCAGTAAGACATTGGTCAGCGCCTGATGGACATACTGCGGGTCCTAAGACAGAAACAGGTATGTGTCAACACATGGGGCTCACGACAGTTGCTTGACAGGGAGACTTTATTGCTTTACAGGACACAGGACTTCTAAAAGTACATTTTCTTACTGCAACAAGAGGAGTTTAAATGAAGGATGAATTTGGAGTGTATGCCTCGTCCTTTTTTCCACTTAGTTAAGGCTAGCACTGACGCCTTGCTTTGGAAGTCAGTGAACTTTCTCTGTAAAGCCAATATTCCAGGCCTTGGGACCACACCATTGCTGCTGCCACCACTCAGCTCTGTCCAGCAGCACAAAGCAGCCACAAGTCCTTTCTAACATGCGGGCCTGGGCTGGGCAAAACTTGTTATACAAAACAGTCCATCAGTCCATAGGCTTTATTCGACTATGCTGGTTTATGTTAAATACGTAATGCAGGGGGTGTAAAACTAAATGCTAGTGAAAAAAATCGCACAATACTGGAATCTTAGAAAGACCCTTGTCCCCCACTCCAGTGACTGCAAAGTCTGTTTTTTCCAGTGTTTGCCCCACAGTGGGTGCTGTCATCACTTATATTTCTCCAGTGACTAGTGGGACAACAGCAGCACCATGATTTTATGAACTGTTACTTTCATGTGTGTCCCTGCTCATAGTCCTACCCTCTTTGTTAGCAGGCTTCCTGTCACGGCTTTCCCGTTAGACAATATTAATAGCCTCTCCAATGCCCTCACCTGTCTCTGTCACCTTCATCACCATGAACCATGAATTCATCACTCGGGGTCATCAAAGCCACCAATGTGGCCCAAAATATGGCACAAAAGTACAAAACCCCTAAAATATAAACTTAACCCTACAAAAGAAATCCAGTGCTCACCCCCCCGCCAAGCCCTAACCCTGTGATGCTGGAGGGCAGTATCCCTCAGAGCAGTGTGTACTCAAAACACACAACTGAGACCCAGCAGTATGGACAAGGTCAACACAGCTCGGGTCCTGTCCCCATCCAATGGAACATCACCAAAGTGGAGGGGTAAAGCCTTCATGGTCAGCCCACCTCTGTTGCCTCAGTTTCCTCCCATGGCACCCCCACATGCCAAGGAGCCTCTGGCTGGGTTACAGAACATTCCAGAGTGCCAGACCTCACCCCTGGGCCCTGACAGCAGGGCACTTGCCTGACACCCAAGTTGGTCACAGAAGGCAGGGGGGACTGACCTTATGGTCATCGGCCAGCTTCTTCCCAGCCCACATCTCCTTCACCATCAGGTGCCAGAGGTCACACTCAGATTTCAGGTTAGCCTCGAAGACTTCCTTCTTGGACGCCATTTTAATTTTCAAGGTGGGTATTCTCAGAAGGAGAAAAGCGACCGTGGTACTTCTGACTTCCTGCAGAGGCAGAAATAGCAGTTGCATCACAGCAAGCACTCACAGGGCCCTTGGTCACAGGAGAAAGGGTATAGCCATCCCGAAGAAGAGCCCCCACCAGAGAAAAGAAAAGAAAGAGATGGAAGATACAGTGGCTTCTGGTGGTCACAGAGACAGAGCACAGCTCACCCTGAAATTGAAGAGCCCTGCATTTCTCCTATGGTCTCAGCTAGAAGGCCACAGCCTGGCTTCTCACCTCTCTGTCCCCAACAGCGGGCTGCATTGTGGACAAGCACCCACTGCTCCAGGCACAGCGCCTAAACCATCCTATTCCTGTGATCATCCTAACACTTTACAGGTGCACGAACTGAGGCACAGGAAGGCAAGTGGCTGCGCAGGTGGCCCTGCTGGAAAAACGTGTGGCTGTCCTCACCCCTTTCAGAGTAGAACTGAACCAGCCTGGCAGGCAGGGCTCCAGTGACCTCACCTCTATGTTCCTAAAGGTAGAGATCTCCACATAGCCTGGTCTCCCCTCAGTCAGCAGGAACAGACGCTTCTGGGTCATGGCGATCTTGCCAACGCCACGGTTGGTCTTGACAGAGCTCGACAGCTTGTAGACACACTCATTTTTGTCCAGATGCTCCATCACCAGTGACGGCAGACTGACCTCCTGGGCCTCAGCTTCTGTCTCCTTCCAGCAGTTGTAGAAATCTCTGAATGTTTCTGGATCGATCAGTTTCTGCTGTCCTGAGTTTCATAAGAAGAGATTTCTTACAGCTGGGGGGTGGGGGAGGTGCTTTGCACTGCTTTAAGAAACTGTGTTACCCAAACCAGGCAGCAGGTGCACCAGGATTCAGGCTTTTCTGGATGGGGACCCTCCCCGAGAGCCTCCCCAGGTGTGTCCAGGTGGGGCTCATGACTTGGGCACAGCCCATCTCCCTTTCTATGGCTGTGTGCCCTACTGTGGGTGGTCATGGCAACTCTTAGAGCTCTGGGTAGGGATATTGACCCAGGACACTCTTATAGTGTACAGACCTTTTCACTATCAGAACTGAGGTATCCCTTCCAGGGACATTAAGGAAGCTAGTCCTGGACTGAAGCTAATGCCGAAGACATCAGATCCTTGGGGACATTCCTACACCACTGGATCAAGCCTCGCCTGAAACTAGCTCTATCTTGGTGCTTTTCGGTTATAAGCATATAAGATGTTTGCTTTTAGCCAAGGATGCAATAACCTACCCAAAAGTCCAACCTTCTCTGGAGTAAGTCCACCTTCACCTCTTTAGTACCAAGAGAAACTGCTTCATTATCTCTAGAAGGAAGATGTAGCCACACACACACAGACATCAGCAAGCCCACCCCCACCAAGCCCTGATGTGTCCCTGCCTCTGCACCTGTCTTGGCTTGGTCCTGCATCTGCTATGTCTCCGGGACCTGTCACACCTCTCTATCCCCTGACATGTAGCCAGCCCATCCATCCTGCACAGGGACATACTTGACACCCCCCCCTCCCAGTGCTCCATTACCCAGAATGGCTTCTCCAAAATGAAAGTAGCAGCTCACATGCCCTCATTCAGACATCCCAGGGCTGTGCATCTATACCAGGCCCCAAATTCTCCAGGATCAGGCCCCTCCTCCTCTTTGCACCCCATCTCCAGATATGCCAAGTATGTCCTAAAATGGACCATATTTTCAGGTGTCTCTGCATATGCTCATCCTAACCACTCAGACCAGAAAGCTCCTACTGCTCCCTCAACACCCAGGCAAATCCCAGGTGCAGCCTCCCCTGACAAGGCAGATCATCCTGCTGGGTGACTGCTAAGCTGCGCACACAAAACCCCCATGGCACCACTGCATTCAACCATGTCGTACACCAAGAACTGTGCACCATGCTCTACTGAGGATCCCATGACCTCACCACCACCATCTGAGGCAAGCATGATCATCAGACTCCTACACAGACTGGGAAACTGAGGCACAGAGAAGAAAGCCCCTCACCCACAGAGCTGGGCCCTGAGGCCACAGCCAGACTCTAGCCAGGCTGTCCTACCACCTGTGTTGGTAGGTCTGTCCTGGGCTAGTCCTCCTGTCCCTAACTTAACCAGAGGCCTGGATCTGAGATGACTGGGCCATGTTCCCATTCTGATAACATAACAGGTATAGTAGGTGGTGGTATACACCTGTAATCCCATTTCAGGAGGCTGAGGCAGAAAGATTACAAGTTTGAGGTCAGGGTGGGCAATTTAGATCTTGTCTCAAAATTAAAAATGAAAAGGGCTGAGGATATGGTTAGGTGGTAAAGCCCTTGTCCGGCATGTGCAAGGCCCTAGGCTTGTTCCTTAGTAATAAAAATGGGTAGTCAAATAAATACATACATACATATATACATAAAATAACAAGCTGTCTGTGGTGACAGTTATCTGACAGTTATGCATTTCATGGCATAACGGGGCTGGGACTAAGTCACTGCCACAGAAATCTATGAGGGAACAGCTACATGCAGGGGTGGGTGCTGTAACAAGCTTACAAGGAAAACTTCCTTGACTTTTACACCTTGCTTCCAAATGATGGCAGTTGAGAGTGCAGAATGGAGCGGGACAGGAAGGTCCAACGGGCCACCAAACCACGTGCAGGAGCCCGGCTAGTCTACATGGGACTCGCCACCAGGTGGCGCCACGTTGAGTTATAGTGGTTCTTTGTTTCTCTGCTTTAAGTGGTTTATAGTGAATATTACTCGTTTTTTTAAAAAGTTTTAAAATCACTGGATCCAAACAGAAAGACCCCACCACCCTAAGGGTATTTATGTACTTGTGCACTGTTTGCAAAAGCAGCCACGGAAAAAAACCAAGAGCAGGGAGCCAGGTACACCCTGAGGGTCTCTTCAGTCCCCTGTGCCGGGCAGTGAGCTCTGCACAGTCACAGAGGGCACAGATGGTGCACACACCTCTTGGCCACCAACACAAGTGGCACACTCTTTCAGGGTTTAGACGTCTTATCCACTCCATCGCCTTTGGCTGGGGAGGCTCCTTCCTAAAGGGTCTCAGTGACTGGGTTTGTGTTACCTTCCTCAGACATGACACTGCCCACCGGGGAAAGAAGAGGACATGCCTAAGAGACAGGCAGGCTCTTCTTCTCCTGTCAGACCCAACAGTCATCATGTGACCATGGGTGATGAGGCCGGGCCAGGGAAGTGGAAGAGATGGAGGGGCCTGGACCCTGATAACACAGACAAACCACAGGCATGCTCATGTCCTGGTAGCATGGGACAATCACCCCAGTGTGTCTCAGCCCCTGGACAGCAGGGCTCCCCACAGCTGAACCATGGGGCCTTTGTGTCCCCATGTGAATACACAGAGAAGGCAGCAGGCCTGCTCCTGAGCACCCAGGGCCATACAGGTAGCCAAGCTCTGCTCAGGCCCCTCACATACAAAAGGGGAGGATTTGCACATGACTCACACTGCAAGCCTCTCTAAGTGACTTCAACACCTAATAGAGTAGATGCTATATAAACATAATTTTACTGTATTGATTAGGGAATAACAACAAGGAAAATGTCTGTGCATGTTCAGTACAGACACAATTCTTCTGAGTATTTTCGATCCATAGACGGCTGACATGGATAGGAAGCCCCGAGAAACGGTACTTGACTGACACCACCTCACCAGACTGACTAGCTGGGCCCAGCAGATGTGTGATCTGACTGGTTCCCAGTGCAGAGAGAGAGTGTGCATCCTCAGCTGGCCTGTCCCAAGAGGTGCACAGACACAGATAAACACACTCATGTTCTGCAGTGTCAGCTCAGTGCCAAGGAGAGACACCCACATCAGCCTAGGCTTCGGGCGCAAACCAGAGAGGAATTGCCCACACATGAACTGGGGGCAGGAAGGGGCCACGCAGGGTCCCATGGGAAGGTGAAGCCTCTGGACACCTCCCCGTGGCCACAGGGAGAAACAAGCTGCACGTCCTACATGGCAACACCAGCAGAGCCCAAGAGGATGGCCAGAGCTGTGCTGTGAATGCAGGTTATTCTGCAACACACTGTGAATGAGGCAGGGGTGCCCCCAGTTATGGGTGCCCCGACATAGCTGTGGGCTATGTAAACATGCAGACTGCACCCTGGAATTTGGTACATTCTCCTACAGGCAGAAAGGAAAGCACAGGCTGAAGACAGCACCTCCCTCGGGGAAGAAGGTACATGGGCCTAACCAAGTCTAGGAAACAGGCCCGCAGCAGGCGTGGGAAGCTGGGCCCTCTCGAGCCTGGCATCTGTGTGGTCTCTGTGCTTCCATGGCTTTCATAGCTGTCTAGATGAGGCCATGGGTGAGGCAAGAGCATCTGGGGATACCGCCTCCCCACTTCCTATCACAGGCCCTGGACACCCCTGCCCAGTCAGGGCGAGTCTGAGACAGAGCAAAAGAAACACAGCCTGATGGCACCATCACCCCACCATTCCTGGGCTATACTCAGAATGCCGGCAAAAGAGCCAGCACACTGACACCCCTCACCTAGTACCTGTCAGTGCTTGGCCTGCTCCTGTTACCTTTGTCTTTAAACACTACTGTCCCTTGGTATTTGGGGAAAGGGCCCGGTTTCAGGATACCTGCAGATTCCAAAATCTACAGATGTCCAAGGTTTTTTAATAAAATGATACAGTATTTGTAAATAACCTGTACACACCCTCTCATAGACTTTACAGCACCTCTAGATGACTTGCAGTAACTCACACAAGCCAGGTGTGCTGGTACATCCCTGTAATCCCAGACACATGGGAGGCTGAGGCAGGATGATTAAAAGCTTGAGCTCAGCCTGGGCAACTTAGCAATTTAGCAAATGCTGTGTCAAAAAATTTTAGAAAGGGTTAGGGCCATAGCTCACTGAGGCCCTGGGTTTAATTCTCAGTATAGGAAATGCACGAGCGCACACAAACACACACACAACACGATGTTGATGTTCTGGAAGTAGTTGTTCTACTGTCTTGTTTAGGGAACAACAGCAAGAAAATGGATCCATGCATGCTCAGTGTAGATGCAATTTCTAAACATTTAATATTCTCAATTGGAGCCAGGCATGATGGCGCACGCCTGTAGTCCCAGCAGTTGGGAGGCTGAGAGGCAGGCAGATAGCTGAAAATTCAAAGCCAGCCTGGGCTACATAGTGAGTTCAAGGACAGCGTGAACTGCATAGCAAGACCCTGTCTCAAAAAACAAAACAAATTATTTTCAATCCCCACTTGGTGGAGCCTTTGGATACAGCACTTGTGGACACGGGGAAGCTGTGTTTAAATGGGATGCGGTTGCATGTGGCCTCTTACCTACAGTCAGGGCATCAAACAGCCTGTGTATGATGTTGGTGTCCTTCACGATCCCTGACTCCTGAATCCTCTTCACAAAGTCTTCCAGCTGCATGTGCTTCTTGGGCAGTTCAAAGTGCTTCACAGCATCGTCTGCCTTGGTGGCCTCGCCCGACTTGTCCAGGACCTCAGTGATGAGCCTCCTCAGCTCAGGTGTCCGCTCGGCCTGGGTGCGCTCAGGGGCCGACATAGATTCCACAGTGCCCTTGACAAGGTCAGCAGGGAAGATCTGGATGTCTGTCTTGTACAGATTCTGGAAGTCTGAAAGGGCACTCAGCAGCTGTCCCTGCATCAGGTGGACAAGGCCTCGCAGGTAGAAGTACCTGGCCAGGAGCAGGGAGTTGTCAGGGCCCAGCAGGCTCATGGCCTTGCTCAGCAGGGTGATGAAGTTGGCATGGTACGCCTGTATGCACTGGCTCACCAGCGGGAAGTGGATTTCGGGAATCTTGAACGTATACGTGGACTTAGGAGCCATATTCAGAACTAAACAAATAAAGAGGAAATAAGCAATAATTAGCACACACTTTCAAAATGGACAAGTGTGCCTGTCCCAGGAACACATGGGACCAGGACACAATGCAAAGCAAGAACCAGTGGGTCCCTTCCAGAAAGCTCTGTGTCCCCAGAGCCCCCCATTTTGTACCCTGAGACTAAGACCTAGCATCTGTTGAACAATTTTGTTTGCTAAAACTTAATACTAAATTGAAGTATTTGTGCTGGGGCTCTGAGAATGAAGCTAATACTGAAAGTCAAGATGTACTTGCCCTTTTAAAATAACTGTTTCACTTACCTTAGCAGCTCTGGGAGCTGAGTATTACTCTGCTGTCATTCTGGCACACACAGAAAGTGGGGCCTCCACAGCCCAGGTGATCTGTCCCAGGGACACAGCTACTGAGTCCCACAGCCACAGTTTAAACCAGGGGTGCCCATCCCTCCAATTCCTTCAACAATTATGGCCCAAGGGACTCCAGGGGCTAAGCACTGACCAGTCCCCAGAGAAAGCAGATGGCAACAGGAGCTGAGAGGCATGGTCTTGGCCTAGACCTACAGAAGGAGGCAGGGACACAGACGACACAGCTGGTGGGTAAAGGCCAAGAATGCAGAGTGTGTCCCCAAAGCAAGAGAGCAGACGGTATCTGCCCAGTGCAGAAGAGGAACCGCAGGTCCAGAGACGCAAAGGGACTTGCTTTGGGTCACACAGTTAGGAAGTGGCTGTGCAGGAGACTCAGATCCAGCAGTTAGCCTTCCAACAGCTGCTCTGAGCTCTGAGTCTCTGTTGTGAGCGACCCCTCTGGGGTCACAGCACGTGCTGCTCACACAGCATACTGGCTTCTGGTACCTTCTTCTCCAGGTAATATTCAGTCCATGCTGCTCAGCTAAGACAGCAGCCACCAGGGCCCCAGGTGTGCAGGTCATAGTGACAGCCACTCCCATCTGCAGAGAACAGGCTGGGCCTCCCCAGACCACTGAGGTGCAGCTCAGCCTCTCTACGCATCTGTCTCTGCTAAACCATCACTTCTGTAGCCAACCCCCCGCCCACACACACACAGTCTCCGCTTCAACCCCCTGGGGGAGTCTGCACCTCCACCCTTGGATGGCCAGCTGTAGGCAGGCAGGCCCAGGGCTGTTCTGCATCCCATCCTCTAGACAGTACCTGGCACTCAGCAGGGCCTAGCAGCTGCTGCATTGCATCACACTTACATATGCAAACATGTATCTTACACACCGTGTACAGCTGCTATCCTCAGTACCAACACTAGGTGATGAGGAATACTTTCCTATAGTTTGCAAGATGAATGTTCTAAACATATTGCAAATAACGAAGCTGCTAAACAATGAAACAAATCCACTCCCTCCCCTGGAAACCAGCCAGGGTCCCCTCAGTGTTTGCCACATGGCTTGCTCACCTGGGCTGCTGTTCCTGCTTGCTGTGGTGTCCATGATGCGAAGCGAAGCATTCCGTGGCGGCAGCTCAGGCAGGGCGATGTCCTGTAGACTGGGCATGCTGACCACCATGCGCCTGTGGGTGGTGTGCAGGGGCGAGGACTTCCTCGAGGCCATCTTCTCCACTGTTGGCCTTCTGGGGCTTATAAGCATCCCCGTAATTCTAGGGTGGAAAAAGACAGCGCTTTAGAGAAGCAAGAATGATTGAGGAGTGAGCATCAGCATGGCATCATTTCCAAAGGAGTGAGTAGTACGGGGCAGCCCTGCCCACATTCACTCACAGTGGTGGCAACATGTTACCTAAATCCCGCCTAGTGCTGCAGGTGTGGAAGATGGCACATCTGTGGGCCCAGGACAGCCCAGAGTCCAAGAAATGCTTGGAGCATCATGCAAGTTTTATGTGTGTTCCAGGAGGTCAGGAAAAACCTCAAGAAGGGATGAAGAACCTTCCAGATTTGAGGGTGGACAACATGGGTGGACAGAGGCTGGGGCACAGAACAGACACATCAATGCTGGGAATGCTCAGAGCACTCCCATGGTTTTGTCACCAACTTCTTGAAAGTTTCTAAATGTCAGGGTTTTCCTGTTGAATCTATCACTTTTCTGTCAAATAAAACCATGCCACCAGAGTACTTTGGTCACCAGAGTCGTGTGCAAAAGCCAAGGAAGGGCACCTGTCTTCCTCGGACTGGGTATCCAGGTCCATCTGTGCATAGGCATCCATCCTGCGGCTGAGCCGGGCTTTCAGGAAAGAATGAAACATGTAGGTGTCCAAAACCTGCAGGAGATGGCAAGAGGGTGTCATACAGGCCTCAGGGTTCTCTCCTCTCCCTGATCAAAGCCACAGTGGCCCCTACAGACTGGGGATCCCACTAGAACCAGCTCTTCAGAAGAGAGGTCCCTAAAAGCAGGGAGTGTCCATATTTGGTTCTAACCTACCAGAAGCATCCCCCAGGTCTTTACCTGTGCTGAGATTAAGGAGCCACTCCACGTTTGAATAATCACAAAATGTTCAAAAGCCTAAACCACCTGGCCACCACCACAGCTATGCCTGTAAGTGTCTGTGGTCCCAAAGACTCCGGACATGAGTGTCCCTTACGGCCCCACCCCACAGCACAGTCTGCCTCCACTCACTGCATCAGATACTTCTGCTGGGCTGTGGTACTCAAGGTCTTCACTGTAAAGGGGACTCTCTAACACCAGAGTCTTTGTTTCCTCTAGACACCTGCTTTCTACTGACCATGGCATGTGGGCAAGTGGCCTAAAGAAGATGAGCCTCCCAGACCTGCAAGCCACCACCAACCCAGGCAAGGAGGACAGGGAAAGGGTGCCCAGGAGGTCCAGAGAGGAACAAGCAGGATCCAAACATGCAGAGTGGGGCAGGAAGAGACCACACAGATGACAATGTAAGCACTGCTTGGCCAGCTGGTGGACCTGCCCTAGCTATACCCTAGATCACTATGAGAGCCAGGAAGGTCACAGGCAGAGCAGCAGAGAAGGGGCTTGGAACTCAGCAGTGGCACTGCCAGATCCCAGAACCAGGCCCAGATACCATGGTTACCAAACCGGACAGGAGCTCCGAGTTCTGGATTTTCATTGATCCCTGATTTCCAGTTCTCTGACTTTCCCCCACACTCCCTGTGGGATGAGCCTGTGTGACAGCATCATGGGATCTGTCTGTGGCTCTGCCCATCTGCACTGTGAGCTGGGGGACAGCAGACTCCACAGTAGCCCCCATGCTCCCACAGGATATGCATGAACAGAGGAGCCCTGTGGTACACAAAGCAAGAGAAATGCAAAAACACAGTGGAGATAGCGAAAGGAAGGAAGAGTGGCCAAAAGCTGGTGATGTTGGCCATAGTGTCAGGAGCATGAAGGTTGTTCATGTGTGGGCTGTGCCCTGAGCATGCAGAACTGGCCCTAGTCACTGTCTGCAGTGATGTGACTCTCCAGTGCTATCGTCCGTGCTGGAACTACAGGTTATTTCTTCATCTTTTTACTTTATTTCTCCAAAGTGATGATGTACCATATTATGGGGGAAAATCATTTAAGGATAGAGAGGAAAGGGAATAAAACAAAGGAAAGGAGAGAGGCTGAGAGAAAACTTGTCCTTCCATTTAGGAATTAGCAGAATACTCAGTAGTCATCTGAGAGGAACAGGAAAGACGCATTTTAAGAGCAGTGGCCTGGCCTCACATTCCCAAGTCTCCTGGGAGGTACCAGGGAAGTCACCTCAGGATGCCATAGAGGGAGAAGCCTTTTGTTTTTTGTTTTGGTACTGGGGATTGAACTCTGGTCCTTGCACTTGCAAGGCAGGCCACTGAACTGCTGAGCTAAATCCCTGGCCCTTAGGAGAGGCCTTTTGAAGAGGAGAAAGGCAGAACCCCAGGTAGGAAGGCCCTCGCCACACACCTTTGCAGATAAACTCCCCACAAGGCCTGTCACCCAGGTCTCTCTCCCAAACCCATGTTTTGACCTACACCACTTCACGGAGTCACTTGTCCTGGTCACCATGGCTGGCCTCTGAGCCACACTGTCATAACAGTGACCGCTCAGTCTTCATTTGAGATCATTGCTATGTTCTCTCCTCCTCCCTTGCTTCCATACCACCTGCCCCAGGTGTTTCTCCTGATTCCTGGCATCTTCTTGCCTCCCTTGATAGAACCCCTCTGCCCAACCTCCTGGCAGGCCCAGGCCTGAGCTTCTCCTTTGCCTGTTCCTTTACTCCTCCCTGACACTGGCTCTGGGTGACCTCTCCAGGCTCATGGTGCTATACATCACATAGGCGACAGGATGCTCAGATGTCTCCCTCCCAGCCCCACCCTCCCCAGGCTGCACAACATGCACATCTACCCACCGAACTGCTTGGCACATATGACCAACATATCCAAAGTGGGTCCCCAGGAGGTTCTTGGACACAGCAAATCTGCATAAAACTAATCAGAGAAGGCCCGGGAAGTTGAAAATGCAGCAATTTCCTGAACTCAGAGAGTAGGGGCAGTCCATGCTCTCAACAGAAAGAAGGGAGAACCTGAGCCAGATGGGGCCAGACAGTAGCTACCAGGGTTGCACATCAGCAGCAGAGTGACTGAACTATACACTGCCCGAGAAAGGCTACTCTTGGCCCATCCCAAAGGTGTGAAAACATATATCTCAAGGACAGAGAGTTTCTGCAAGTGACATGAGCCATTAAAGGCCATGATGGCCCTTTTTTTTAATGGACAAAAACTGAAATCCAGCTGGGATCCTGGTGCATACTTGTAATTTCAGCTACAGGGGTGGGGGTGGGGCTGTGAGGTAGGAGGACTGCAAGTTCACAAGACTCTGTCTCAAAATAAAAAGTTAAATAAATAAAAAGGTCTAGGGATTTAGTTCAGGAAGAAATCCTGGTTTTATCCTTGGTCCCACCAAAAAAAAGAAAAAGCCTAAAAACACCCAAATGCTCATTAAAAGACCAACAGAAAAACAAAGTGTGCTCTGCCCTAATACTGGGAATTCTTTGGTATTAGCAATAACAGCAAGCAACTGTTGAGACAGCGCCGAGGTCATTCCCACAGGCCAAGGGACCGAGCCAGAGAGCTCAGCTAAGATGATGCTGGCAATGGGACTCTGAAAGAGCCCGACCTGTTCCAGGGCCTGGAGAAGGAAAGGGTGAATCAGAAGAAGCACAGGAAGCACTGGGGAAGCGTCTGATGTCCAGATTGAGGACATGGTTATACAAGTAGGCATATTTCTCATAGATCAGGGCCGGGGATTTAGCTCAGTGGTGCGGCTGCCTGCCTCGCAAGCACATGGACCTGAGTTCAATTCCCAATAAAAAAAAAAAAAAAACCTGTCATAATCTGTCAAACTCAATGCTAAAAATAGGTGCATTTTATTACATGCAAATTATGCTCTAAAAGCTGAAGAGAAAGAGGATGAAAAAGAAATTCATATGTAATAGGTACATGTATTAGTTCCCCACAAGAAATGAAATCATGATGCACCCCAAAATGCACTAATAAAAAAAGAGATAGCCAGGGGCTAGAGATTTAGCTCAGAGGTTCCGCCACCTGCCTCACATGGGCAAGGACTCAAGTTTAGTCCCCATTACCAAAAAAAAAAAGAAAAAGAGATAGAGCCAAAGGATCAAAAGGAATCATATAAAAACAAGCTCCTAAGACAAGAAAACACAAAAAATTAACAGATCTTGATAAAAGCTTATTTTGGAAAATGTTTAAACACAGAAAAGTAAAATAGGTTGAACACAGGCAAGACTGCCCAAGTCCACACCTCTCACCTGCTTATAGAACTGCTGCTCCCCCGTGGCTCTCGTTTTGAGAAATTCCTCACTGTTAAACACCCTGTGTTCATAATTCAGGTGATTCTTCACCTCCCTGACAAAGAAAGGGCAGTCTAAGTGCTGAATTACTTCAAACACATGAAAAATATGCTGCTTTTATCAGCAGAAGAATGAGGACAAGAAATACACATGGCAAGTGTGTTCTTCAGAGAGATTATCCTCATCCCCAAAACTCGAGGGAATGGGCAGACTGTATAGTCAACAAACTTTCCCCAGCTAGGCTGGACCCCTGGAAGACAGTGTCACTGGCATCTTTCAGGAGAGCAACTAACTTTTCATGCAATTAAGATTCGATAATCAACCACTGTCTGGGAATGATGCTAAATTCAAGGGCGACACAGGGAGTAGCCATTCTTCCCAAGTGCTGACCCCACTTAACCACCAGCTTGCCCTGGACAAATCTCCCCACACTTACACTTATACCCTATTCCTTTGTGGTTATAAACACATGGGATTTGGGCATATAATCTCTCAGATCTAAAGTAATCTTCAACAAACAGAATCAACGACCTTACAGGGCATAGTCAGTGCATGGTATGTTCGGTGTTTTCCTTTCATTGTGAGGGGAAAAAATTATTCCATCTAGGGGATGTAACATTTTATAATCCATAATCACATTTCTGCTTTTTAAATCAAATGTTTTTTAAAAAAAAGACAGCCACCTTGATCATGAATGACTTCAACTTCAAAGAACAAAAGGAAAATAATATACTCAGGACCATGCTAATCACACTGCTATGAGCAAAGAGATAACATAACCTGTCTGAATATACCATCCCATTCTTTCCTAATAAATTTCTTGCTTCATGTAAGTAAAGATATCAAAAGAACAAAGCCATTAACTTTTCAGTTTTGAAATAATCATGCAGAGTCCTGGCAAGTTGGCAGGCTCTGTGCTCAGCATTCCCGAGCAGAAGGCCCTGCAGAATGGACCAGAGCTGGTGTTAGGTGCCTCCTTTGCTATGGACTCAAGGAGAAAGCAGCAAGAAGGGCAAAAGGATGCTGCAAGAGAAAGAGAAAGAGAAGAAAGAGTTGGAAGAAAGAAAAGGCCTAAAAATTACCCAAGTTGAAATATAATTCCTTAAATGACAGTACATTTAGGCCTGAAATAGCAACTCAATGTCTGTACTGAGTCTCATGGAGATGCACACTGCTAGTCTTCCTAACCAATTCTAGATGCAATGCTAGGGAAGAAATAGCAAGCAAGAGACTTCTCATGATGGTAACTACAGGATGAGAGGAAAGAAGAAAACCTTCCAGGTGCCAAATCTGAAGTGCCCCTGAGACTTCTTTAGGGGCTCCATTGTCTCTTTTGAGTCACACCCTGGATACAGGCCTTTCCCTGGACTGACCCTGAGCCCTTTCCAGTGCACGCCTTCACTGACAATCTCTTCTAGGAGGTTTGTGACTGTCCCCCTGGAGGCTAACTCAAAGCAGCCATCCATCCACATGGCCACTGACAGGGGAGAACAACTAAGAGGTTGCTAGCCAGGGTCAGAATGAAAACACCCAGCTCTCAATAAACCTGCTGATGGTGATGACAGGGAAAGGCTTGGGAGGGACAAGGCCTCTCATACTGTCAGATGGTCCCAGCAGTCTGAGCTTTGGGGCCATCTGCCCTGAAGTGCCACAGGCAGGCTGGCTGCCTCTCTCAGATGCCAGACATGCCCCTTGAGGTACCTGAAGATGCCTACAAGCAGCTGCAGGGTGATGTGCTGGATACGGGAGTTGAGTGTCTGCTGCCAGGCTCGTTGACGGGCACGGCCCTCATTCAGATCTGTGCTGGAGATCAGGTGAGCAAGGTTCAGCTCAGAGTAGAGCTGGAGGCTCTGGACCCTGGGATGAAGCAGATGAGATTGCATCATGGATCACAGCCCCATGACAGCTCACCAGTCACAGCCACTGTTGCAGTTAGGTGGACATTTCAGGATGCTCTGCATACCTGTCAATCACTCAGGGAGCAGGCAGTCATTATGTATCTAAAGCTGGAAGAGTAGTCTCATGCACACAGCACACACATCTTTGGACCTTGCACATTTTTAAACCCACTGAGCCATTCCAACAGTGGGCACTGCCTGACTTGTGTGCATCCCTTGGGATACCTAAGTGTTTCTGCAGAGGCTGCATCTTAACCAGCCAGCGAGGGCTGCAGGGAGGAATGATCACAGCACTCCCAGAAGCTTCTCTTGGCATCCCCTGAGAAAGTAGGATCAGGTGCCCCTTGTGCCTGTATCTAACATCCTGGGTCTCATCATTTGTGACCCTTCAGGGGATGCCCACTATTGGCTCATGTGCAGGTCCTCATTTGGAGTCAGGGAGGAACAGTTATATCTGCCAAGCCTGAGTCACCATAATCACAAGGCCTGGCCATCCTAATACTGCCCAAGGCCATGCTTTGAGAGGGACTTTGAACATCAAGTAGCAAATCTGTAAGGTTTTTTGTTTTGGGCTTCATTTTTGTTTTTTTAACAGTACTGGGATCAAACCCGGGGATGCTGAACCACTGAGCTACATCCCCAGTGTTTAAAAAACAATTTGAGGGGGGTGGTACTGGGGACCGAACTCAGGACTTTGCACTTGTGAGGCATAGTGCCACCATTTTTTTTTTTGAGGTATGTTCTTACTAAGTTGCCCAGGCTGGCTTCAAACCTACAACTGTCCTACATCGGCCTCCCAAGTATATAGGATTGCAGGCATGAGCCACTGCACCCACCAAGGCTGTGGTATTAAATAAGCAAAACAAAGACAACCAGTACACATTTGTTTCACAGATATTCTTTAAGCACCCACTGTACCAAGCCTGGTTCTGGATGCTGACTGAGGCAAAGCCTCTGCCTGTATTGAGCTTTCATGCAAGGGGGAAGAAACAGAAAAACAGATAAATTAATCACAAAACAAGAAACAATGATGTAATCAGGCAGAGAATCCAAATAAGGTCATGGGCTGCACATGGAAGAGGTCAGACTGGGCAAAGATGAGTTCTCCCAGGAGATGACCTTGAACTTCAAATGTGGAAGCCAAGATGGGGGCAGAAGAGGAGAGATTTGCAGTCACTAAAAGCCCTACTGTGGGCACAGCCGGCCTATTGGGCCAGTATGGCTCCAAGCCAGGGTAAAACTGTGAGGCCAGGGCCAAGGGGCTGGCACAAGCTGATGTGTTAGGAAGTTGCTGCTGAGGACACCTCCAGTTCTGGCTGGCCCAACTGATCAGACAACTGCCATGTTGTTTGTCAGCCCCAAACCAGCCTGTGAGCCAGAAAATCATAGGATGGACAGCACAGTAGAGAAGGACATGTGACCAACTCCCCTGCATCAAGTATGCTGGAGTACTTGGGATAACTGGGTCTCGGGGAGAAGGCTGTCCACTTCCTGCACCCCCAGAATGCAGTCTTTCCCTCCCATCCCACACTAAGCCAGGAGAGTTCTGTGCCAGGACCCTGGTCCTTTCCTCCAGGAAAATCGGCAGCTGCAAGGAAGCCATGACAAACATACTTTTGATGAAAATGATGAAGACAGAGGGCAGAGAGAACAAGTAGGAGCCAAGGGGATGCAGACACACATCACACCCCAGGACACCTTGGAGAAACTGCACTGCAACCTGACCCATGGGCTCAGAGCTCGTGACAGACAGATGGATCACGGACAGCACACAGGGTTAGTTCACGTTTATAAATAAAGTCCCCGTGATGAGCCTATAGGAGATGCCACATGTCATTTACCCTGTTTCCAACCTGTACACTGTGTGCATTTGTATTTCTGGAATCCTAGCAATGCAGATAGCAAAGCAAACACCTGAGAAGCTGGCAGAGGTCAGTTCTACAATGGCTCTGAAAGTCAGGGGAAGCAGCTCCTGCTTATCTGAAAGTAAACAGGACAAAGAGGATGCAAGTTTTTATTTCCAAGTTCAAACAGGTCCAAATTCCAACAGAACACCTTGCACAGGTGCCCTGAGCACAAACTGCCCACAGCTGTAGGAAAAGGAGAGCCCTGTGACCCTGCAACCCCACTGCAAGGGAGGACATACGTCCACCCTCTCCTACTCGCTACCCCTGCACTTTTATCATAGCTGTTTCTCGGGGCTTTGGGGGGCTTTTAAGTTTTTTGAGATGGAAGGAACAATGATAAAGGTGGTATTCTTATATACAAATCAAGTATCTCTTATCCAAAATGCTTGCCGCTGGGCATGTAGCTCAGTGGCACAGTATTGGTCTAGCATGAATGAAGCTCTGGGTTTGATCTCCAATGATGTAAACAAAAATAAAAATAGCTCGGGACCAGAAGTCTTTCAGATTTCAGATTTTAGGATATTTGCATGTACGTAATAAGGTATCTTAGGGATGCGACCCAAGCCCATACATGAAATTCACTCATGTTTCACATATTTTTCTTTCCTTTTTTTTTTTTTTTTTTGGCATCTGGTTGTTTTTTATTGAATACACTCATTCATAGAAAACAGAAACACAACCATAGTATGGAAAAACATAAAACGGAGCTCTGGAATGAAGACCCAGACCAGCCTCCTATCCTAGCCCAAGGAGAACTATAAAAAGTAGGAGAGACTAAATCACATTCCCACCCCAAGGCAGAGACCCAACCTCCATCCTTGGCATCTGGAATGGACAGGTAGGGTGAAGAGAACCAAGGACCAGAGCAGCCAGAGGGCCCAGAGTTGGGGCAGCTCCATGTAAACTCCAAGGCTTATATGTGTGTGTGCCTGACAAAACTTGGCTGAAGACTGGACAGACTCAGAAGCCAGCCCTGGGTCTTATGGTGAGACTGGAATTGGGGACACAGGGAAATGCCATGTCCTTTCTTTAAGCCCCTTTCTAAGATAGGCACTGGGGCTTCTGTAGCTGTGGAGGCAGAATGGGCTGGGGTCTGCACCACCCTCCTCTGCCCCTGGACATTCTTGGGCAGTGTCAGTGGCACTGAAAGGCCCCACCTGGGGCTTGGCAGGACTGAGGACTCAGAAAGGGACAGATGAATTATTTTTCCCTCTAATCCTGGTGCTGGCATCAGTCTGGGAGGTTTATGAGGTGAAGAGATGACCTCCAAATTCAGCCCCTCAGTCAGAGGGGGCTCTCAAACTGAACTAAACACCACTGCTAAAGACCAGCCTGAGCACAGGTCAGAGTCGGGGAGCCTGCTCTGAGCCTCTTGTAGGCCTTAGCACCAAATGCCTGGCACCAGGTGGCCAGCCCCCAAAATCTCACACCTGTATTGAATCTGGCTGACCAGAGTAAGCAGTGATGGCAGCGAGGTACAACCCCCCAGAAGAATGGGGGCCCTGCAGCAGGACACAAATTAGGTCCCAGACCAGGGTCCTGAAGTGGCACCATAGGAAGAAAGGGTTCTGGGTTCCAGACTGAGGACGAGGGGAAGGATAGGTAGAATGCAAGGCATGAAATGGGGAGGGCATCACCTTCCCTCCTCTCCGCTTCAGATGGATAAACGGAGGATAAACGGAGAGTCAATGGATGGATGGGGGCCTGTGGGAGGCCCCAACACTGAGAAAAAAAGCAGCAATTTGGCCAATGTCTGGGGTCTTGGGGGAGCAGGCCTCCTCCCTGGCAGAGGGCAGCTGCAAGGCTCAATACCACACCATGACTATACCGAGTCTGGCCTGGGCTAGACCTCCCTATCCCACCACTGGTGCTGGGCAGCAGGGCTGGGGCTCACAACCCTGGTACCATAGAGGCGCCTTGGCAGGTGACAAAGAGGAGCTCAGGGCCCCATGAGGTAAAGCAAGGGGCCCAGCTCCTGCTAAAAGACATAGATCTTGTCCTGCTGCACAGTATCCAGGTCATTGTCCAGTGTCAGCAACACCAGAAAGGACACAAACGTGGCGATGGAGGACAGGAAGTGCCAGATGTCATGGTCATCAAAGAAGTCGAGGAGGATGCAGTCCCGATTGTGCTCCCTTGACTCTGCAGGAGTTTTCTGACAGGTGCTGAGTCCCTAAAAGAAGAAGAAGAGCGCAAAGCCCCAAACCACAGAGGTGCAGATGATGCAGAGCAGAGGGATAAGCTTGATTCACTCTCCGCTCCGGAGCTTCATGATAATGCAGAAGGCGAAGTAAAGTAGCAGGCTGCAGATACCAATGGCCAACAAGTAGGAGGCAAAATCACTGGGGCGCGTGATGAGCCCATAGGCAGCCAGTGACCAGTTGATAATGTTGCCCATGACCAGCAGCACCATGCAGTCCACATAGAGGGGCCCGCTGCACTGCCGGATGTAGTCCATGTAGAGCACATGGAGGATGCAGCAGAAGATCCCCCAGTCCAGCTTCCAGTGGCCCATGTAATAGAGCTGAGTGCTAAGAAGCAGGGAGGCAATGATGTGAATGACAGAGAAGACAATCCAAAATGATGTGTTCCCTTTGCCAAAGACCATGCCCAGCACAGAGAAGAAGATGACAATGGACAAACAGGCATAGGCACTGTAGGCGCTGGCATTGATGTCTGGGTGACACTTCTGGTACAGCTTCAGCATGCAGAGTCCAGCAATCATGTACATGAATGATGTGTCAAACTGGAAATTAGTATAGTTGGGGCAGACGTGATAGCAAGCACTAAGCAGCCCCTCTATCATCAGTGCTGTGCCCATGGCATAAAACAGACCAAAGTGTTTGGGAATCCCACATTCCATAGCATGAAGGTCATTGCACAGCAGGGCCCAGTTGTGGTTGATCTCCTGCTGCAGGATGATGAGCAGGAAGAGCAGCCCCAGCAGGATGTACCCCAGGTTGCTGAGGATGTTGTTGAAGGTGCTGAGGTTGCCCAGTGGGTGGGCACAGAGGAAGTTGTAGTAGCAGATGTCCTGTTCCCTGTGATGTTTACCACCATCTGGTAGGTGATCACCAGCTGTATCACCAGAAGGGCATAGAAGACAGCAATGGTGGCAATGTTCAAGAAGTAGATCTGGTACTTCTTCCGCAGAATACCTTTGTCCTTCTGTACCAGGTCAGCCACATAGAGGTATTGCTTGGTGCAAATGATGTTCTTGTCTGACTCAATGTGAGTCAGAGTGTCGTAGTCATCCTCTTCCAAGGAGTTCATGGAGTCCAGCTGTGGCCGAGTACCCACTGGATAAAAGGGGCGGTCATGGTAACTGTAAGAGAGATCCACTGTCAAACAAAGCATCAGTGGATCTGGAACCATTCTCCAAAGAGCCATAGTTATAACCCTCATAAGAGCTTCCAGAAAAGGAATCAGCCAGGACCCAAAGGTGACCACCTTCTGGGCAGGTTTGGTCTGTGGTCAGCAGAAGAGTCTTCTTCTTCTGCCTCCAGTTCTCCCAACAGGATAGGAGGACGGTCAACAGGTAGAAGGAGAGAAATATCTCCAGGCAAAAGAGCATCCCACCAATGTAGGCCTCGGATGTGACTGCTTTGGATACCAGCACTGATAGGGTTTTCTGGCGGTGCCCTTGATTGACTAGTTCATCTTCTACAAAGGGGTAGAAAGGCAAGGAACCCCTGCAGGTCTGGTCTTCGGTCTTCACCACCACCACCACCACGTAAAAGCTGTTGCTGGGAAGACTTTGCGCTGAACAGTGATAGCTACCTTCTTGGTCATAGTCTGGTATATGCCAATGAAGGCTACATTATTGTCCAGGTCATAAACAGGGCACAGGACATCCTAGATGGAGATGACTGAGCAAGGAAAGGCTTCATCAGAGGTCACCTTGACAATCACAGAGTCTGCTCCCTCAGGGAACTCATACTTGAAGTACTGGGGCTGGGCTGCAGTCGTATTGAAGCTAAATTGCTCCCCAGTCCTGAAAACAAAGTCATCTATCTGATTGACCCGGAGCTGATACTTGGTGTTGACAGGTGACAGCATGGAGACATCCACACAGAAGAACTAGGCGTTGGACTCGTTCTTGGTGGGGGGCTGACACAGTGTTCGCTCCACTTTTTGGTAAAGGTACTTGCGCTGAAACAGCCCTCATAAGATTAGGACACCACAGACTCCTTCTGGCGGACCTCAAACAGCAAAGGCGCTCCCTTCTTGTTCAGGATGTTCACAGACACACGCATACCCTCCATCCGGTTGTGGTCACAGTGTGGTTGAAGGTGTGGATGTTGACCAGCTCTCTGTTGACCTCAGAGGTGCTCAAACTCGGCGTCTTTCTGCGAGACGTTCTTGGGCCCCAGGACCCCCATATGGCTCTCCACCGAGATCGCCAAGAGCACCAAGAAGGACAAGCCCGGAGCGAACACGGCCCCCGGAAGGGCGGCAGAGGAGGCGGAGGAGGTGGCGGCGACAGGTGACAGGACACCTCCAGATGGGCGGCTGCAGCTGCAGGTTCCAGCATCTCACCAGGACCAGAACTTTAACCCCGGGGAGAGATTAAGAAACGTCCCCTCCCTGGAGCCGAGAGTGGAGGGGGTTTGGGGGGCAGCAGGGGTGGGGGCTCCGAGAAGAGACCCCGGCTTGCGAAGGGCTGAGCACGAGATCCGGCAGCCCCCCCACCCAGGGCCGTGAGAACCTGGGGGGTTGCTGGGAGCCCGGAGGCGCCTTGCAAGGAGAGGGGGCCGGCAGCTGGACCGCCTCGAAGGTGGGGGGAGTCTGAGGGCAAGGGACGTGATGGGTGGCGGAGAGTATTTTGGGACTCGAGCCCTTTAAGTGCTTGGAACTCAGGAACTGAGAGGCGCAGCCTTTGGTAAAATCTGTTTCATACATTTCTTATGCACACTGACTGAAGGCCATTCTGTAGAGTATTTCAGTGAAATTGTTTTCATTTTGATGAATCACATGAGGTCAAGGGCAGAACTTCCCACTCATGTCATCATGTCAGCACTCAAATGTCTCACGCTTTAGAGCATTTCAGATTTCAAATCCTACACTTCGCAAAAACCATCTGGGTAGAAGGAATAAACCTCACCAAGGAGAGTCAGATGTGAGAAAACCCACTTGAAGGGAGGCCAGGACAAACTGCCATCCTCCTGCCTACACCCTCAGCTTTCAGCTCTGTGTCTCTGACCTCCCCACAGTGACAAGGAGGGGATGACTACCCTACATACAGCTGCCCCCAGGGACAGCAAACACCAGTATGGCTGGGCTGACTTCCAGAAACCTAAAAGGAACCGAGTATCACTTCTACAACTCACGTGCAAGGCTTGACAGCAGTTGGGCCCCCAGGTCATGAGGACAAACAAGCAGGAGCTCTCCTGCTACCCTCTATTTAAAAACTCAAAGGGAAAAGGTGTTATACAAACAACACAGAGAGAGGCTGTTGCTGTATGCCCATCAGTCTTGCCCAGTCCAAGCTGACATCCCCCCAGGCTACAGCCAGACACCACAGCACACACCACTGCCTGCTGTGACCAATGATTAACCTGCCTCCACCATTCAGGAGGAAAGTCCTGCCCAGTTTCTGTACCACAGCAGAGACCACAGGGCCCCAAAACCTAAAATATATTATGGTCTTTTTTAGAAGAAGTCGGCTTCTGATCTAGGCCAATGAAGCTTAGAAAAAGAGATGAAAGTGTAAACAGCTATAAAACAAGGTTTGAAAAATTAAAAGCACCAATAGATTGCCAGGGGAAGTGAGAGAAGGTCACACATCCACAAGGTCCCCTGGATTGAATATCCCAAAGCAGGGACACCACCATCCTGTCACTACTGTATAGGCCTGCCCAATTCCAGCTTTTCAAGGGTATTCGACACATATCTAGGGAATGACAAGAGATAACAGTACAAGCCCCGAGGCACAGGACCAAGGATCAGGAAAGTAGGGGAAGTGACTGACCCCAGACTGTTCAGCCATAATTAGTATTTAGAAAAAACTGGAATACAGATAGATAAATCCCTTTTCTTTAAAAGTATTTCCAAATAATTTCTAAAATCTAAATACAGAAAACAACTATCAACAATACAAAATTGGAAAAAGACAGTCAAAGTGGCAGACACAGAATTTAAACAAAGATGTTCTCAAACACATACTAATTCCTGTTACCTCTGAATAAACATCTGTGCCACCAGAAGAGGGATGTCTGGGATGTTCATGTCATTGTCTGAGTACTTAGAGCACGTGATGCTGCCATGATCGATATCTATGAGAATTAAACCATCTGCTTCCTGCAAAATAAAGATTGATGTAAGAATCTTTGAATTTTAAAAACACACAAACATATTTTTCACTTACTAAGAGAGTATCATTATTTCAATTATTCTAATATATGATCCCCAGCAGTGCACATAGATATTATCGCTACAAAAAATGTAGACTATGAGTTATATCAATGGGATAAATCTGATTAAATGTGCCTTTCTCTTATTTTTCATTATTGAAGTAAAATATACTAACATACTATTTACTATTTGAGTGTACAGTTCAATACTGTTAATTACATTCTGTAATTATGTTACTGTTAATTACATTCACATAGTTGTTCAACCTTCATCACGATCCATCTCCAAAACTTTCTCCTGCTCCTAAACTGAAACTGTGTACCCACTAACATTAACTCCTCATACCTTCTTCCCTTTAGCCCCCGGCACCCATCGTGCTACTTTCTGTCTCCTCCAGTTTGACTCCTCTGAGGACCCCACATAAGTGGAATCATACGGTATTTGTCTGGTTACGGGCTTGTGTCACTTAGCAGAGTATCTCTGAGACTCATCTGTATTGTAGCGTGGGTCAGAGTTCCCCCTCCTGTTCAGGCTGAATATTCCACTGTATGAATGGACCATGTGCTTTTCTCTTTAAGTTTCCAATGTGTGGTGTCCAGTTTGCACCAACCATGGTACAAACACTGCATGTACTATTTCACAGTGTCCTGGGGGATATTCCAGGCCTCCACTGAGTGCACCACTAGTATTCAATGCCCAGCCAGCTCTGCCACCCTATGCTAAATGACCACACACAGAGGGAATTTCTGAAATATGTTATTTGTAAAGTCTTATCCATGCCAAAATACACACAGAATGAGTGTTTCACTAGAGTTCTGGGGCCTCCAGGCTCCAGAATGAAATGCTGAATCTCTCGGAAGGCACCACTCCCACCTTTCATCCTGAACCCTGCCTCATTCCAGGTGACAAATAAAATGCTTTGTGTACACATCAGTATCTTCTTGGCTCCAAATCTCACAAGGCAAACAGTCTTCAACCAGCAGGCGCACAGTGACCTCTGAAAGAGTCAATGCCAGGCCTCTGCAAGGGTTACGGGCGGACAAGGTAAAGGATCACCCCCTCCCGCCTTCTGCAGGTCCCAACACAAATACACAAACCAACCGAAAATGCTTTCAGTTAGGAGTAACTGTGGCTTCTGGAATCTCTCAGAACAGATAATTCATGAAGTGAGTTTCCTGCCTGAGCGCTGACTAGAATTGTTAAGTAAACATGCCAAAAAAGTTTCTCTCCTGAAGAGTCTGGAACAAGACCTCAATGACTAAAAAAGGAAAACAAATTTAAACTTCAGAGCATGGCTTATTTTTTCTTGCCTACCAAGCATATTGGGTGACATTTTTCTGTTCCTTCCAGAGCCCTGAATGGCCTTTTCCCAAAGTGTGTTTTTCCCCTGGTGAATCACTGGCTTTAGAAGAACACAGAAAGAATGCCTGACCTTTCACAGGAGGAACCAGGCCCAACCTAGCACCTCCCACCCTCCTGGACACTTGAGCAAGTGCCCAGAGGTGGAGATTTGCTTTAATAGATCCCACCAGCTTGAACCTCCAGTAATATATGCATGACAGTTCGATCAGGCAGCTTGTACCACCCTGTGGGAATGCCCAATGTCACCTGATGCATCAGTTAGGCATAAACCACCATATCTCAGAGCTGACCAGCAGCAAGTCATACAGCCCCATCGTGAACATATTAAACCTCCAGAAAAAGGGGGACATGGGGGATACAGTCTAGCAATAGGCTAGCATCAGGCTACAGAAAATGGCAAGGCACACTGGCATCCACCTGTATTCCTCTCCCAATTTCTGTGTACACTTAAAATCTTCAAAATAGTTGGGGGTAGTGGTACACACCTGTAATCCCAGCTCTCAGGAGGCTGAGACAGGAGGATCACCATAAATTCAAGACCAGACTGGGCTACACAATGAGTTCAAGGTCAGCATAAACCACATAGCGAGACCCTGTCTCAAAAACTAAATAAATAAACAAACAAATAAAATCTTCAAAATGTAAAGTTAAATACCCAGACTACCAACAGCATTCTTCACAGAACTGGAGCAAACAATCCTAAAATACACATGGAACCAGAAGTGACACAGAATAGCAAAAGCAGTCCTGAGTAATGAGAGAAAAGCAGGAGGCATCACACTCCCAGACTTGAAGTTATATTAAAAAGCCACAGCTACAAAAACAGTATGGTGTGTTGGCACAAAAGCAGATATGAGGATCAACAAAACAGAAACATAGGACATAGAGACAACCCTAAACACATTCAATTATTTGATCTTTGACAAAGGGGCCAAAAAACATATACTAGAGGAAAGATAGCTTCTTTAATAAATGGTGCTGGAAAAATTGGCCATTCACATGCAAGAGATTAAATCCAGAGCCATATTTTTCACCATGTAATAAACTTAAATTAAAATGGATAAAAAAACTAAATGTTAAAATAGGAACACTTAACCTGATAGAAGATGAAATAGGTAAAACTCCTGAAGTTACAGTCATAGGAAAGGACATTCTAAACAGAACCCTGGTTCCACAGGAAATAGTACCAAGCATAAAGAAATGGAATCATAACAAATCAAAATGCTTCTGCACAGCAAAAGAAACAACCAAAAGAGTGAAGAGACAACCTACAGAATGGGAAAAATCTTTTGCCAGCCATTCCTCAGACAGAGGGCTAATATCTAGAACACTGGTGGGGAACCCACGGCATACGTGTCACAGCGAGCTGTTTGTATCATTGAAAACTCTAAGGTTCACCATCACTGATCTAGAATATATACAGAACTCAAAAAAGACAGACACCCCCCAAAAAAGACCCAGTCAAAAAATTAGCAAGTGAAATGAATAGACACCACAAAAGAAGTACAAATGACCAATAAATACATGAAAATTTCAACATTGGTGGCCATTAGAGAAATGCAAATTAAACCAACACTGAATTTCCTTCTTACCCCAGAAAGAATGGCCATGATCAAGAAGTCAAATAACAAATGCTGGTGGGGAAGTGGGGATCAAAAAACTAAAGCTAGAAATTCAATTTGATACAGCTATTCCCTTCTAGGTATCTTCCTGAAAGTGTTAGAGACATCATATTACAGTGATGCATACATACCCATGTTTATAGCAGCATAATTCATAAATAGCTAAATCTTAGAAGCAGCCTATATGTCCATCAACAGATGAATGAATAAAGAAAATTTGGTTGGGCCAGGGATTTAGCTCAGTGGTTTTGCCACCTGCCTCTCAAGCACAAGGTCCTGAGTTCGATCCCCAGTACCAAAAAAAAAAAAAAAAAAAAAATATGGGG